GAAACGCATGCTTTTAAAAGTCCCCTTCCCGACGGTGACCTGAGAATTGCCCGGTGGAGAGAGAGTACCATAACGAGGTTGACCACGTCATCGTCGACAGTAGGTACTGCCTGACGAGCCTCGTTGCTGTTCCCAAGTTCAACACGGGATCGGACGCCTCCTACGCGCCAAGTTCTACTTTCCGCGAAATTGAGAGAGAGCCGTCTAGTTCAGGAAACATTGGCTCATAAATACCACCAATTAGGATCTGTTTTCTTCGACATCCAGCTCATGGCTACCCTTATCTACCCTGATTGACAACATCGACGAGGAATACTTACGGTTCGTACAACATCTTTGCGATTATGCCTAGGAAGCTCAGAGTCTAAGAAGTACGAGAAGACGTCTAAAAGCGGAGGCTTTGAAGCTGATACGCCCACGTGGACGTGCACGAGCCACAGTCAACTACCGACTGACGTTCGAGCTTGCGAAGCGATGCAGAGAAGCGATAAAAGAAGACCTCGAGGAGAGAAGAGTAGTAAAAGTGATGGTTGACGCAGAGGCTGGAAGAAGTATAAGCAACGCCCGTCGAAGCTTCGTCAACTTCAAAACCAAGACGACCGCACTTCGTCGTCCTCCTGACGGAACCATAACTGCTTCCCGAAGATTAATGGAGAAGGTCATCCACGACCTCTACGATCTCTCTGCGAGCCACGTCCAGCTTCCACCATGCCATCTCAAGGAGACAAGTATGTCGCACCGTCTGTTCTTCCTTCCAAGATTCCTCGTGCTATCATTTCGATGAAGAAGCGTACTGCACCCAGTCCCAACAGGATTTAAGCCAGAACATTTGAAGAATTTTTCGCCATTTCTCCTAGGACCTTAAAAAGGCTCTTCACGCTGTACCTGTCGGAAGGCAAGTTTCTAAGGCGATGGAATACCAGCAAGACCGTGTTGCTGTATAAGAAAGGAGATCCCTGCGACATCGGCAATTATCGCCCTATTTGCCTGTTGTCTGTAGTCTACAAACTCTTTACGCAAGTTATCCTCAACAGAATCGGAAGAGAGTCAGACGACAACCATGCGAGCAAGCTGGGGTCCGAATAGACCACATACACGATAGACCACATACACACTAGGCGTCAAGGCTCAATGAAGTGTCACGAGAGTAAAAGATGCCGCTCTGTCGCGCTTTCACCAACTTAAGAAGGCCTTTGACTCGGTTGAGAATGATCCCGTCATCGATGCTTTGAGCAATCAAGATAATTAGTGAGCTGATAACGACTTCACAACCAGCATCATACCATTCTACAAGGACGTCATCATCGACGTAAAGAGAGGCGAGCGACAAGGCGATACTGTACCGCCGAAACTATTCAGTGCCCGTTGCCGGCAACGGTTGCCGAGGTTGCCGAGGTTGCTGAGTTGCCGAGGTTGCCAGCGTTGCCGGCGTTGCCGGGGTCAGAAACAGTTTAGAGAGCGCGCGAAACATGGAGGTTATCTTGAGGTCCTACAATGACCGGCAACGCCGGTCATTGTAGGACCTCATGATCGTTCCCGCTCGTTCGCCGTTCCCTAAGTTGGAATGGGACGACTTGGGAGTGTGAAAGTCGACGGCCGGCAAGTACCTCTTCGCTTTGCTGATGACATCGTATTGATAACACCAAACATCACGCAGGCGGAACAAATGTTGGCCCAGTTTGACGAAGTGTGTGAGAAGATTGGTCTACGGTTGAGCCCCAGGAAGACGATGTTTATGAGGAACGGAAGAGTTCCTGATGCTTCTCTCATGCTCAACGGGATGAATATCACTGAATGCTCAAGCTACACCTACTTAGGTCGTGAACTCGATAAGACGAACGATCTAACTTCGGAACTGAGCAGGAGGAAACGTGCAGCATGATGACCATATAAGACAACTGAGGACGTAGTGAAGAAGATTAAGAACATCCGGCTCCGCGCCAACCTTTTCAACTTGACGGTTCTTCCTGCTTTGACGTACGGTACAGAAACATGGACAATGAGGAAGCAGGTCGAGCGGTTAGCGTCATCGAACGTGCTGTTGAGAGAGTGATGCTGGGAGTGAACCGACTCACGCAGGTGAGGCAAGGAAAACGAAGTCTACTCTACGTAAGCGATCGAAGGTCAGGGACCTGCCGTGTACGCCGAGCAGAACAAGATAAGATGGGCCGGCGCGTAATGTGCTTCGACGACAACCGGCGGACGAGAGCTGTAACAGATTGGATACCAGTGGACGTCAAATGCGAACGAGAAAAACCGCAGAAGCGATGGTCAGATATGTTCACGAAGTCCAGCGTTCCACGTGTTCCTGGTGCGGTGCGTAAACACTTTTCACTAATCGCCCGAGACGGGGACGAATGGAGGCATCACTGCTACCCGCTCGTGCAACACTATGATCAATGGGGATACAAGTGATACAGGTGAAACAGGTGGTTTTTTCGGTTCTGTCTGAAAGGCATGAGTTACCAATAAATGTACAATCATGCCAATGTTGCGACCTGAATGACTGAGATGGATTTCGTGTATAGGCTTATCAACTGCAGTGCTGGGTGTGACCAGCCTCTTCTGCGCGGGATTTTTACCTCTTCCTCTTTCTCACATGCTCTCTAATGGCATCCAATCGATTGAAGCTCCCCTTTCCCACGCTCGCGGTATGAAAGCGATCAGAAAAGATGTTCGCGAAAGAGGTGAAGAGTACCGCGCGGGAGTGGAGATGCTGGTGCACCCAACACGGTAGTTGATAAGCCTGTAAGTGCATCAGATCCAAAAAGCAATTTCTTAAGTAGTAATCAGATGCATTTATTACGGTATATTTAATGAGATCATTTAAAGGCAGTTTCCGGGCAAAAACTCGATTTGAGATTTTGTGCTTACCCGGGCCTATTCGCTATGCTGAATCCGGAAATCCACATTGGAGAGTGTGAAAACGACGAAAAAAGGCTCTAATACTGGAGGGAAATCAGGAAGTGGGCGGGTCTTCCCCACGGTGAATTCACGCTCCCAGCTTCCGGGGCGATTTTTTTGATTCCTCTTTCAAGTTATTCGTTTGCACTTGATCGGTAGTGATGTCAGGGCGGCTAACGGATTCGAGAAAATTTCTCTGAAAGCTGGAAGCGTGATTGAAAAATATTTATTGAATTCAGTTGACTGCAGTTTTCAACGTTTACGTGTTTGGAAGCACGGAATGAATGACTTTGGAATGACAAAGAGCGGGATTGTACAAAACAGCTGTAGTACTTTCGGTAACTTCAAACCTTTATTTTTAAAAATTAAATGAATGCTGGCAGTGCTTCATTACTTTGAGCTGGTCGCTTTGTATGTGTGTCATAGCTTTTGACAAAAGCTTTTTGAGTGTTGCCTCAAGAACTCTTTTCCTCTCTTTCTCTCAAAAAACTCTAGCTATGTACATATGTACGTATGCCCCCGCTGGGGAGGGGAGGGGTTTTGAAAGGGGACGCGTTCTACTTACATATGTGTATTCTTCTTTTCTGTCTATAAACTTTGCCATTCAAGCTGATTTTATATTTCGTGTGATCCCCCCGGAAAATTTTTAAGGGTTACCCCTTGTTTTCAAAGTTGTTTGTTGGGAAAGCGATGAAAACATCGTATAGTACTGCGGAGCTACTATGGCATTACTAGGGATGTTTTTGACAAAACAAATGGATCGTGCAGGTAGTGAGCTTTGCGATGACCTCCGCGAACAGCGGTTTATCGAAGATTTCGATATTATGTTTCTACTCCGCATAAACATGTTTAGCAGTGCCATAGTATATTCTCTGTACAATTCTACAGCATTTTTATCGAGTTTACAGGAAATAAATAACTATGAAAATTTGATGATTCCCTGGGGATCCTCAGGGCACGAAACAGAAGAAAAAACTCGGTTTCTTTAGCAATGTTCTGTCATCCACTATACTAAAATTCCAGGGTGTGTGACCCTCCATTGAGATAGATAGGAAAAGAATAATACAAATACTTAGAGTATCAAAATATGATGGGTCCCCTTTCACATTCCCTCTCCTCCCCAAAGGGATGTCCTGCATACGGGCCTAATTGCCGCATGCACTAACATCAATTCTGGGTAGGGGATCGCAGCTCAAAAGCAAGTGCAAATTTCAAAGCTCCAAATATCTGGATTTTTCGTCTACTTATCACTAACAATAAGTATTCCCATCATACTCATACTTCACCATGAACATATTGAGCAGGAGCAAGAAATCGTACAAGCCGCATTTTCCAGTTGTTTGTATGATCCCAGGTAATCCCCGGCGGTAAACTATTTTTTTCTTCAAAAATCATTTTTCTTTAAGTTAATGAAAACATTCCAAAGTTCCAAAGTGCTGATTATCTAACCCAACAGTGCTAGCATGTTGCTGATAAGAACAAATGAGTTTCTGAAATATCGAGTTTTTCGATAAGCTCCATTCGACTTGTGGTTCGTCGAAAACTTCATGAGTCCAAATCATTTGCTTTTATCAGCAACATGTTTAGCACTGTTGGGCTAGATAATTGGTAACTTTTCAAAATGATTTCATTGAATTTGAAGACAAAATGACTTTAAAGAAAAGACGGTCGACTGCCGGATCCCATCAGGGGATCACACAAAAGGCTGGTAAATGCGGCTTGTACAATACCACCCACATAACTTGCAAAATTTCCGTGAATGTCGCGAAGTTTCGTGAAATTCCGAGAATTTCGCGGTATTCCCGGAATTTCGCGAAATTTTCGATATTTCGCGACATTCACGGAAATTTTGCACATTCTGTGAGCGGTATTGTACAGCTTCTCGCTTCTGTTCAGTACCTTCAAAATGAAGGATGTGGAATACTTACCGAAGGTGGAAGCGTGAAATCCATGTATCAAGAGCGTCAGGATATGACGCTTCTTTTAAGCTGCGATCTCCTCCCCGGAAAGGATGTAAGTGCATGGGGCCCTAAGAGTCGGATTAGTTGCCTATATTAGCTGCAAGATTCTGCACGAAAAGAAATATATGTGCTGACCTGATTTGGATAGTGGACAGGTGCAATTATTTTTCACCGTGCTTCTGTAAATTTGTCATTTGGTGTGAACTTTGTAAAATGAACGACTTACCTGGACATTAGCTCATTGCCGATGGGTTTTATAAAACCCTCTACCAAGGGAATTGCAAGAAGCAGAAACGTCACTGCATGCATCGTGGTAGATGCTCCTACAATGCGCACTCTTGCATATGCAATCCTTCACTTGAAAAGAGAGTTAATAAGTCTAATTTTCTTACGCGTGATGTACCGATAAAACTTTCAAAAATAAGCTCCAATAACAAAGTGTCGAAGCAACTCGATGCGCCCTTTCTTTTGACAAAACCACAACAGAAAAGATGTCATCAGAGACAGCTGCTGTACATCGAACAGTATAGACTCGAATTGATAAGCACTATATGAGAGAGATTATATTGGCGATTTCCTTTTGAACTCCGAAGTATTTAAAGGCATTCCGGACAACACACAATCCTTTTTTTACAGTTTATCTCTGAGCGAAAGCATTATAGTTTAAAAAAATATCACAATGTAGCAAACACAGATAACTGGCTTTAGCTTTTTTCGACGATTCGAAGAGAACATTGCACTGTTGTTGCGTTGTGTGTTTTGCAGCTCTATAGATGCTGAGCGAACATTTTTTATGACAAAGCTTCCACAAATTCTTTGGAGTTAGCACCGGTTTAACCACTCAGATATACAATTACGGGAATAACGCTTATCTTATTTAGTATCTGAGCTTCTTCTCTTGAAAGCTGAATATGGTGGAAAGATACAACTTGCTGTCATCATCGCCTGCCGCCGTTAACGCCTTTTGACTTCAATCGCTAATTTTTTCACTCAATGCTAACTAAAACATGAAATGGCATCATTGTTGCTCCATTATCACTTTTGTGTCTTATGACAGCCAAATATATACGAAAGAAACTGATAAGAGAGCAGTGATTGCATAATCTCACGTTAAGCGAATGTCAAGCACTATTGTAAATAGCTGAAGCATGACTTAGCAAGATAGATACTCTTTCCAAGTTAGCTTTTGCTTGCATACTTTCAAGGATAAGCCGAAATTGATAGGCTTCAAGTTCCAAAAACAAATGAGAAGAATCCAACTTTTGAGGTTCAGGTAAAGTATTTGCGTGGTTTTAGGGAAAATCACTTGCAGCTTAATTGTGCGTGAACAACTCCTTCTCCTCAAGATTTTCCACACATTTTGGTATAACATATCAACAAATGGCTTTTACTTGATTTCGCTAGTCAAAACAAGGTCGCTCACTAACTCAAAAATGATCAATACCTGGCGTTAATTTCTGGTTATTCTAATCTTGATTATAAAAAATCTTTGCATGTTTTTATATTCAAAATATAAGTAATTGAAAGAACAGAAAACCTGTGATATTTCGCTGACTGAATCACAAAGTGGAGGTTTACAATGCAAATCTCATACTCAGAATCAGCGAGTATGATGGACCTTATAGTGGGGTTGTCTTGGATCGGCGCTTAAAGGCACCGTCCACCCTAAGTTGAGAGAGTTGAGCTTTTGGCAGCATATAATAGTAGGGCCCCCTATCAATCCTTCCCAAACCGCGGCGCAAAATGCCGCTTCGGAAGAGAGAAAATCGCTTCGGAATAGCGAGGATGCACGAGGACCCATCCATGCCCGCCCTCCTCCATCCATGCCCGCCCATTTGTGCGCGCCCGTCCAATCACCGTTCCGGAAAGCCGGCCTGTGGGTTGTCCGGAACGGGGATTGTCGAGGTTTTCGCTCATTCTCGCTTCATATTCGGAATCAGGGGCCTGAGAAGGCCCTGAAACGAAAAAAACGTAGAAGATGAAAATCTGGGTGGACGGTGCTTTTAACAGCGAAAAGCCGCTTCAGAAGCTGCTACTGCAACTCTCCCGTCCTTCGCTTGATGGCCAGAGGGCTGCATTGCACAAGGTTACGACGTATGTAGGGTCCCACAACGATTCTGCATCTGATCAAGCATTTGTGGAAAAACCAGTTTTCTACTTTCTTTGTGTTCTGTGAACTGCATTTTCATAGCGGAAATGATAGAATTTTTCGCTGAGGTCGCGAACAATTTTTCATCCGAATCGCTTGGGTCTTCGATGGGAAGCTTTTTCTGTAGGTATCTCACTTTACCGAAGATGTCGAGGAAAATGTTCACTGCGAACAAAAAGTGAAATGTTTATTTGGGCATTTTGCTAACTCCAACCAAAACCGTTCGGCGCATACCTTCGATAGTCTAGAGACAGGGCGCCAAAAGTGAAGGTTGTTTGAACATCTGACGTCATAAATAGTGAAGGTTGTTCAAAGAAGATCAGAGAAGAAAAAATGACGTAAAATAGATATAAAAAGCAAGAGAAACTGCTGAAAACCAGATAAAAATGCTGCAATAAGGTTTGAAATCTTTCGTTTGCCGGCTTTTCAAAGTGCAAGTTTTCGCTTCAAGACCAGCAATTCTCAACACGGGGTTTTGATTTTTGATGCGTCCTTTGAATTTTTACCCTCGCGCCGTCCCTTTTGTACCCTGCGACGTTGTCTGGATTCTTCCGCTCATCATTCTGAGCAAGTATCGTCCAAGCTGGAGAAAATTCGTTGCGAAACCACTGAAAAAGAATAAGGTAAAGAAAAACGCATTTTTTGTAATTTTCACAAAAAAAACCGGCATAAGCAGAGAAATAAGCTCGGCGACGTTGTCTACATTATAGACAGAAACAAGACCTATCGACTACACAAAAAAACTGCGTGAAAAGAGTCAAACTGGGAGAAAAACGAGAGATTTTCGAAAACAAGGTTTTTGCCGGAATTTCTCGTTCAAATCATAAAAAGAAGTCTTGCGACGTTGTCAGCGTGAAAATAGAGATCAAGAGCTTCAAAACGATATATAGCTTGCTAAAATTGGATTCGAAACAGCGAAGAAAAGGGTACCAGAGCCAAATGCCCCGCGCCCCGCGTTTGGGGTAGCGAGGTAGCGCGCAGCGCGCGGAGACGCAGACGAGCAGCGGAGACAGACCAGAGCCGGCGGGGCATTTGGCTCTGGTCATTGATCTCCGCGGGGTCATAAAAAAACCCTATGATATTATATATCGTTGTGATCCTCATGAGACGGCCAGGAGCACTGACAACGTCGCAGGTCTTGAAAATCACTCCATAACGAGATAGACCAGCATTTATGTGGCGACTCTCTGCGCAAGATTTCAGCGCAGTTTCTCGTTTTTATTGAATTCCAGCGGCTTTCATGAACCTCCAACGCTCAATCGCAATCTACAGAAAGGTTAATTGAGTTTCATCCTAATTTCTAACTGAATTTTGAAAACCTTCTTTTCAGCAAAAAAAAGGCCATAAAAACGCGATCCTTCGGTTTTTTGAGCTTTTTCTGGATGTCACTACTATATTTGCCTCATTCACATTCATCCTTACATAGTTAGTCATTAGTTATATCATAATATCCGGGCTTCGCCCCGGATGACTTCTGTATTCCTCTCCAGGTGAAGGTTGTGTCCTCTCATGACACTCAAAGTGAAGGTTACCAGAGTACGTGGCTCTATGTATCGAAGGTATGGTTCGGCGCTTGTTCTTTTAGCAGATCTAACGATAAGCATATTGACTTTGAGAGGCAAACTTGTCGACGACATTTGCACATGGACAGATCGCCACGTCTGTACTGTCGACGATTTGCACAGCAAGAAAGCTGTAACGTTCAAAATCTAGAATTTGCAACTGACAAAATTGTTCGCGCGCAAATGCTTTCGACACTTGGCTTAGTGGAGGGCAGAATATTGTCAGATCCACTATATATTAGGTTGATTCATAATTAATGCACGTTTTTCTCACCTCTTCTTCCAGGAGCTGGTATTTGACGTGTAATCAATTTCCTCAAAAACCTTTTAAACTATCTAAAAGAGCGCTTTTTCTAGATACTTATGCGCCCCCCTGCTTTCGTAAATTTCCGTTCATTCCAAAGTTCTGAGCCTTCAAATAAAAGAGACTAAATCCCAATTGCTTTTATTCTTTTTGCCCTAAATCTATGAGGAATAGCCGTATTAATCCCAAAAAATATGCATAAGGATTAGAAAACTTTGTGCTACAAGATACTGTTTGAACAAAATTTTCCATGAATTCTGAGCCGAGAAATTTGATTGCAAACTTGAATGATCGTCGCGGCTCTTCCGTACCATGTAAAACTTTGAAGCAAAGGGCGATTGCAGGTCTTTTGCACTATCCAGCAAGGGTAGACCTAGTTCATTGGATGGTAGAAAAGCGCTAGGGTTTTCTCACTTTCCAGCGGAGAAAAATGAAATAATTTCAAAAATGACCGATTTTTGAACCTGCCAGATGCCAAAAAAATGAGTACTTTCGACTTTTTCGCGACATTTTCTTTCGAAATTTTAAGTTAATCCAAACTTGGCCTTACTGCTCAAGAGACCCTTGGCTACACGAGGAGCGAAGTCTGCTTTAACTTACTTCATTTCAACATAAGTTATGCTCTCTCAAAGTGAAGGCTTCTGAAAAAAAGTTTTTGGCAATCTTTAGGCCAGAAAATCTTTCTTGTGATGAATACAGTCATGCAAAAGTATCTCTTTCATAGCCACTGATTTGTTGGTTACAGTTGTTTTTATTGCGCCCAGAAATGTCTTTTCAAAAGAGAATTATCTCGGTTGAAAGTTGGAGTATAGAAAACGTGCATCATTTATGAATCAACCTAATATATACATCACTGCCTATACAGGCCGTCCGCACAGGGCGCGAAGACTGCGCAGTCGCTGTAAAACATGTTCCTATCTAGCCAACCGCATGAAGAAATCACTCAAGTTCTAGATTACTCTTCGTTTCAACATGTATGGTCTGTGCCAACGATGTGCTCTCTTTCCGATCAGTTCGCGCGCAACCCAAGTGCAGCGTAGGCGGCGTACCGCTCGTAAATAAATGTCGCATGAGCACCGCGAGCACCGCGCATCGGAGATCGCTGCGCGGTGCTCACGCGCTGCAGATGCGTAGTTGCTACGGGAAAGGGAGTGTTTGGCCCAGATTGAACTGCGCGTCACTTCTCTTTTCCCATGCACTTCTCCTCTTGTTTTCTCCGCTCCTCTTCCAGTTATGAAATATTCGCAAGTATTGCCCTCCGAGCTGAGCGCGGATGGCTTATACCATTGCGCGAAAGTGGTTTCGGGTTAGCGCCACAGTAAGCCTCTACACTTGGCAAGCAAGCACCAGGGAGACTTTACCATTTGCTAATTCATGTGCTAAAGTTGCAAGCATAGACCCGTAGTAAAGCTCGGTCAGGAGAGATGATCTCTCCTGAGGCCCTTATGTGAGGTTCCATCAGGTGAAATGACGATCGCCTACTTCCCCATGCTATAAGAATGCAACGTCACCTGAGTGGCATTGCATTCTTATAGTATGGGAATCATGTGAGCCTCAGGCAGGTTCGGCAGGGAGATCATCTCCCTGCCGAGTCATCGCAGATGATCCGAGCGATGATCTCCCAAAATAGTGTGCTAATGAGTGAAATTCAAAGAAAACTTTCGTAAGTCACTCCTGAGTAACTCACACGTCATTTTAATAAGTGTAACATACTAAATGAGAGCAACAGTGCAGGCTGGCCGCACTTGTAAGGTCTTCGACAGGATCTAACGAGAGCGGCCACAACTCCGCCGCTTCAATCACAAAGATGTGAATGTTTGGCAAATGGGTTCTGACTCGTATGAACGTGGCGTACTCAATCATATCAATGTGAATAATTGGAATTAGCAATCAATGGCTCAACTGGGGGGAACTGGGGACTCGTTGAAGCTTCAACTGATGCTTCCCTCAGTTGAGATCGAATGAGGCAGTTTTACTACGGGCCATATGCTTCGGCCATATGCTCAATCTTCATCACCATTATCTGAATATTTGGGGAACATAGGCAAGCTGCGCCTATAATTCGACAGTACCTCCCGACGCTGTGTTATAATTCACTACTAAAGACCCACTCGTCTGAACTGTGATCATCCTTGGCAAACTGCGCCCACTGTGCTCCTCAAGTGAACACTTAGCACGTAAAGTGGGCAAAAAAGCATAGAGGAGAATAAAAATTCAAGCGACTTCAATGGCACCTTCTAGCCAAAATTTGTGTAGACGAGATTATGATGCATATCAGCGTGGGCCCTAAAAATAGGCAAATCTGCAAGTTGCGCCGCAAATTGCTTCCGAGGGGATGTCCGTTCGGAAGGAGCAAATCTGGAGCTGGTCATCCCACCCTGGTGGTCGCCCCGCCCACTCTATAGGCTTTTCCTCGGCTGCGCTTGTTGCAGCGGGTTTTTCAAAACGGGGACTTTTGAGGGTTTCGTGGATCCTCGGCCCCATATCCAAAATCAGGGCCTTTGGAAGGTTTGAAAACGACAAAAACATGGATGTCGAGTTGGATAGACGGTGCCTTCAACCCTGGCAATGCGCCATATGATAAGCCCCACCTCCTCGTTAATGGCAATAACGCTTACTTTCCAATCTTCACTTTGCACATTTTATGATAATTTATGCGCTTTTGGGCATTTTCGGCTCAGTGGGTGGAGCTGCCTCCTTTGTACATATACACCGTATGGATAGATGTTGCATACATGCACTTGTGTAAACAAGATAACCTAGATGTAAACAGAAAAATTCTTTTTTCCTTTCCGAATCTCTAAAACTTTGGGGTTAACTTTAGAATTTTTTCAAATTTACAATTCCACGGAATTTACACTCGTAGAATTAGAAGCCTGATCTTTTAAGGTTCCCCTTAGTGACACGTTTTCACGTGCTGAATAGCCTTACCCAAGTATAATCGTAATTTCTACATACAATCAGATGATAACCTCATTGACAACGCACATCATGTTCCCACTCCGCTTAGAAAACCATAAAACAAACCATGTCGTTAAATGATTTGAAGCTCGAAGTACGTGGAGTTCGTCCGAAAGCCTTATTTCTTCTTAGTTGAAAATATTACTTACTGCTTTGTTAGAGAATAGAACGATTTTTTGAGCCCAGTTAAGAGATGAAGAAAGTTTGCAACCAAAGACTTTTCCACAAAATTGTTAAGGGAATGTTTAGAAGTCGAAATGACAAATCTAAAAAAGGTTGCATGCCGGATGCGACATAGAGCGCTGACCTCAAATCTGTCTTCCTTGCTGCTGAAAGCCCTTGTTTACGAAATCATGAGCTGTTTTATTGCAAGAAAACCGTCGAAACAAAATTCGAAATCAATTACTGTGCTTCCTTTTTGGCTCACCTCTAGTTACAGCTGCATCAACCAAGCAACTGCATGTTTAGACCCAACACTAAGGCTCATGCTGTATTGCCAAACATGGCGAAGGCTCAATTCACTTTATGAATTTCCTGACGCGCGGTATTCAAACAAAATGAGGGCGTCCTCGCATCATTGTGGTAGGATAGGTACAGCAAAAGTCAACTCAGCTTAGGCGGGGATTGGATTGGATTCGCCTGTACTGTAGCTGTACTGTAGCTGCGAAACAGTGATGGTTCTCGTTGCTTTGCAGCCTACAGTATGTATATCGTCCTAAGAACCAATGTCGGCGTTTCTTCATTCTCCTCAATCTTTAGCTGGCAAATTGCCACGGCTGTAAGCTCCTCTAGCGATGCGGTCGCGCTGCTTTGCTAGAATGTTTGTGCCTACATCGGGTTGAAACAGACTGTATCAAACAATTTGTTTTGAAGCTTAGAATTTTGGAGAAAGCTAAGGCTTGTTACCATTCCTTATACAGCCATTAAATAGAAAAACAGGGAAAACATCATTTATTGACTTTTGATTGTTCATTCGATACCTGTCTTATACAACAGCAAATGCTTGTTAATGCGCTAATGTAACGCCGCTTTCTTGCAAAGAAATGTCCTCATTTTGTCACTGCATTTTGTGTCATTCCATTTTCGATACACAAGACTCTCGTCGACCATATAGTCACAGAAGACCTGGAATGAACTATAGGTATGACTTGCTCGGAAAGACAAAATGTTTATTAAGTGAAAGCTGCTGGTGATGAAAAAGTATGCCGTCTAACAGTAATAAAATAAGTAAACGTTTGATTTGAAGCTCAGGCATACCTATGCAATCTGAAGCGTCAGAAGATAGGGCATTTTAGCAAGGTACAAAGACTATATCATGCATCTGCAGTTTGCCAGTGTAGGAAATGAAGACGTATGACAGATTGCCAGGTCGCGTGGCGACTGGAAGTACGCCCTGAATCTCACTTACAGCAAAAGCTGAGAGCATGCACAGAGAGACTTTACACACTGTGGTGCGCATAAACTGCGATCCAGAAAGCCTTAACTCGCTATTCGGATCCTCGCGTTGCAAAATAAAACCAACCTTTTTTCTCATGCTAAATTTGATTTGAACTTTAATCCAAAAAGGAGTCAACCCAACTCAAGTTAGCGGCGGCTGGAATGTTTTTCTTGATTTTGCTTTGATTCTTCGAGTTAAGAAATTTTAAAAAAATTTTGAGACCCATATAATGTACCACCGAAGTTAAACCTTCAAATTCTCTTCTGAAAAAATAAACTTTGATATGTTTTAATCTATATGCTGGCAGATAGTCTCGTCGTAAAATTGTACGAAAAAAGTCCATTCAGTCTAGAATGCATAAAACATAGCATAAAACACCTCAAAACAGGTCCTGTCAGACCACATTTTGCATTACATACATTGAATAACCATACCTTACATTTGGAATAACTTCCTTTAATTTAGTTACTTTTATTTAGGAATTTCATTCAACTGATTCTAGTTCAACAATTTTGATCTCACAAAAGAATGTTGGTCGAAGTGACCTTTTAAAATAAGATGTAAACTTTCTTATAGAGTTTGGAATGCTGATTCCAAATCTATCTGCTGGGGGCTTCTGGGCGAGGAGGTATGAAGGTTTTTGCGAGTAAAAAGTCAAACGCAAGATTAGTGTAAAATCACTCGCAACATTTTTTCTAAGGCTTTACTGATAGTAGGGTCACTCGGTGCAATAAGTACTCTCGATTCAAATATACCAGCTCGCTGCTGCCTCATTTAAACGTTGAGAAAAAATACGACTGATTTTGCACTAATCTTGCACTTTTTTACTTATAAAAACCTTCGTAACTCCTCGCCTAGAAGTCTGCAGCGTATAGCGAAGACAGATTTGGATTCAGCGCTCCAAGCTCTGTAAGATAGTTTGCATCTCATCTTAAAAGGCACTTCGACAACCTTCCTTCCCTTGTCAGAAATCGCGGAGAGAGAAAGTCGTGTTTATGGAGTATTAAATCGGTTATTAAACAGTCTTGCTTAAAAATCGCACCTGTGCACAAACACCTTTGTTGTCATTCGGCTGACCTGGTGACCATGGCGTATAATCAACTTTTGTGCCGTCAGTCCAGCTCCATTCCATGCTAAGTGGGTAATTCGCTTGTTTCAGGCCTATCCAGGTTCCTTTTAAATAGTTATCGCCCTTGACACCCGTCTTCGCCAACTCTAAATCACAACCAGTAATCACATTGCATTTTGACCAAGCAAGTAAACTTACCAATTACAAATTCATTTTCTTCAAAGCTATGGATAGAAGCCAAATGTCCCCCTTTCATGTCACAGATACTTTCGGCAACGTCAAAATCTTCCCAGTAAAACACCTGCAGGAACGTTCCGAGCAATAAAGTGTCGATTTAAATGCTTGTCAGAATCGAAACATTCACTCAAAAGGATATCTAATGATGTTATCTCACATCCGCGTAGTACTAATCCAAGAGTATGGTCATGTACACATTTACCCTATTTGAATCTTATATATAAAGCTGAATGTCTGTTTGTCTGTCTGTCTGTCTGTACGTATGTTCCGTATAGAAAATTCCATTTCTGAACCGATCCGGACCAAACTTGGCACACATACACTTCGGGCCCCGGCGGGTGTCATAGGCTACTTTTCGTCATCGATCGATATCGATTTTATCGATTTTTTGCAAAATTTGAGCTACGGGGCTGGGAGTTGGCACAGGGGGGTAATCGAGCATGCTGATTACGAACATAATAATAACAGGGCCGGGCGAAGCCCGATAAGTCAACTAGTTTCCTTTAAAATATCTTGCGCAAAATCGTCGCCTAGACAGCCTCTAAAATTTTCGACTTTCACAATATTTCAAAAGCTTCAATAAAATAATGTAGACCATCTGTAAACTATGATTTTATGAACAACCCCCCTTATGAAAGAGGAGAGACTGCGTAGCGCGCATGCTAATGTACGGCTCACTTTGTTACATTTTCAGCAATACATCTACCAATTAGCCTGTGGAAGAAGATGTGCTGAGACCGTATTCGTTCATTCAGTAGACATTTGAAGATGTAATAAATCCGGCTGAAAGTAGATATCCAACTTTGATGCAGACTTGAGTGCATTGCGCATATGCTTCTAAACGCTAAGCAAAAAAGTTGAGTATATAGAATTGAAGTTCTTGGACGTTTTGAATTGACTTAAGGCATCTGAGGCAAGCCAGAAAATGGTTGACGGAAAATCAAGTGAAGATGGGATGGTTCGAGTTTGCAAAATTTTGAAGTTATGGTCTACAAACTTCTCAAATTCGAAGTTTGGAGGAACATGATTCAGGAACGAAGGATGTTGTTGCTACAAGGAAGACTTGCTTCCCTGACTCTTATTGATACCACATGGTCGATGAAAAGAAGGAAGCAAGCATAAGCGTGACACCTGCATGAGTAATTGCCCGACGGTAATTTCAACATTGATGAGAAAACTTAGGAAGAAAGATGGCAGAAGTAGAATCCAAGGGGCTTTTTCGATGGTTTCGCTTCAGAATCTTGAATTTGCTGCAAACCAAGAGAACCATGCAAATAATTTAAAAGACCGAGTTAAAATGCTTTGTATTAGGTTGTGTAATAAGTTTCTTATATGTTTTTGGAAGCTTTAAATCTGCTCTGCAAATTTGTATGCGTCGTCCTCCAACTTAGCAGGATTCTGAAAAAGATTGTTGGCATCTGGAAAAAAACCGAGGGGGTAAAAAATATTCTTTTCGACATATTTTTTCCTCTCCGAATTTTCCGTTTCTCATGGTAATTTTTATCCAACAAGCTTGACAACATACAAAACAACCTATTAGACTCTTAAGTTTGTAACAGTGGCGGTCCGAGGGGGCGCGCCCCTCCCCCCCCCTTCAAGAATGGGTCGCGAAATTTTTAGAAGTTTTTTATATGGGTTATAAAAATGTGCAAGTGACTTGTTTTTACTTGTAAATCATCAAAATTGTTGTGTTAGTGTCTGATCAGTTGTTTTCTCGTATGATCTGCCCTCGCTGAGGCGCCGCTACCTCAATGCGCGGGAAATGAGTGCTATAAAAGGCGCTTGCTGTTAGCCATTGTCAATTCGACTGTTCACTCATTGCCTCTTTTACTTTACTGTTCTCTGTTATTTTCTAATAAATATTCTTGTTCCTCTCGTGTGCTGCCTCAGGACGAAGAGTCGACGTGTCCGACGTAGGGGACACAACAGTGGCGATCAGGACTTGCGGCTACTATCGAAGAGTAGCCGAAGAACGAAGCTTTGGATTGAATCGAAGATTCGTAAGCAACAGGATCGATCGACATGGCGAAAGTGGACGTCCAAGAGATGATGATGATCTTCAAGGAGATGGGGATCAAAGAAGAAAGGAAGGAAATGATGGAGATGTTCCTAAAACACATCGGAGGCACGAAGCAGAGCAGTTCGACGGAGATTCCGAATATGATGTCCGCAATGAGCAATCGGATCGAAAAATCTACTTCGACCCCGAAGCGGACATTTGCTTCAGCAAATGGTACGCCCGCTACAAGGAAGTCTTCGTCGAAGACGCGAAGCAGCTCACAGAGAGTGCCAGGGTGAGGCTTCTCTGCGAAAAGCTGGACAAGGACAGTTTCGAAAAGTACCAGAGGCATGTACTCCCGAAAGAGGTAACCGCAATCAAATTCGAAGATACTGTCGAAACCTTGAAGCAGCTGTTCGACGTGAAGATTTCGGAATTTACTATGCGGTACCAGTGCTTAAAGGTGGAAAAGGTGGATTGGACTACCTCAAGTGTACGGGCCGAGTGAACGAACTATGCGAGAAAGCGAAGATCCACGACTTGGATCTTCGCTTTCTCGCCACGACTTGGAGCGAGGGGATCAAATGTCTTCTTTGGATTTTTGGCCTGAAAAGCCAAAAAGAAGCCGAAATAAGGCAGTGACTCATAGCCGTACTGGACAAGGAGTACAAGGCTGGACGGAAATGTCGCTACACGAAATGTACCTGGAGTGCGAAAACTTCCTTAGTCTCAAAAAGAATAGCGAGACTGTAGCTGGTTGCACAAAGTTGTCGAAGTAACAAGCAAGGAGAAGCTGGAATGCTGGAACCGTGGTAAAGCTCACTTCGCCAGAGAATGCAACGCGAAGCTATGGTACTGCAAGAAGTGCAAGACGACATGTCACAAGGAGAAGTACTGCGAACAAGTAGCGGAGAGAAAAGCACTTGTTCAGGAAGATTCAAAACGAAGAACCCACAGAAGCAGTGACACCAGTAAGAGCAGAAGTTGGACGAAACCAAAACGTCATGTGCACAGCGTAGCGAAGATTGCAAAAGCAATGGTGGATGTCAACTCGACACGCATGTATATTGAAGCAAAAGTGAATAGTCATCCAGTTAGTTTCCTGCTGGATAGTGGATCAGACATCACACTGTTAAGCGAATCAATTTGGAGAAATATGGGTGCTCCTCGATTGGAAAACACCAACGTGGTTGTCAAGAACGCTAGTGGAGGCTCAATGGACGTCCGTGGAAAGCTATTGTGCGACTACGAGATCAAAGGATCCAGAAGTGAAGGCTACGCATACGTGACGCCTCACTACTCACTGCTAGGATTGGAGTGGATCCAGAAGAACGAAGAGATGTCGTATCACTTAAGCGGAATGGTTGCTGAAGTGAAGACAGACAAGGACATCGCTTTGAAGCTAAACGAAGCCTACCCAGGAGTCTGCGAAGAAGGTCTAGGACTTTGCACAAAGGAGAAAGCGCACCTGAGAGTTGACGAAAACGTTCATCCAGTATTCAAGGCTTGTAGGCCTGTTCCCCATGCTGCGCTCGAAGCCGTCGAAAGGAACTGGACAGGTTATTGGAGCTGAAGGTCATAAGTCTAGTGACACACAGTGATTGGGCAGCTCCCATTGATGTGTCAGGAAGGCGAATGAAAAACTGAGAGTGTGTGCTGATTTCTCCACCGGACTTAACAAAGCGTTGGAGTCATACGATTACCAGCTGCCATTGCCGGAGGATATTTTCGCATCCCTCGATGGAGGTACAGTATTTTCGCAGATAGATCTGTCGGACGCCTATTTGCAGATCGAGTTGTCAGAAGAAGCGAAGAAACTGGTAGTGATAGATACGCATAGAGGGATGTACCAGTACAATAGACTGCCTTTTGGAATAAAGACAGAACCGGGAATTTTCCAACAAATCATGAACAAGATGGTGAGCGGATTGCGAGAGGTGGCAACCTACTTAGACGACATATTGTTCTGTGGACGAACAGAAGAAGAACACGTGAAGAACTTGTTAGCTGTTTTTGCAAGGATAGCCAAATATGGTTTCAGGATTCGGTTAGAGAAATGTTCTTATGACAAGCCAGAAATACAATACCTCGGCTTCATAGTAGATCGAAATGGCAGAAGACCGAACTTAGCGAAGATCGAAGCGATTAAGAATATGGATGAGCCGAAGAATGTCAGTCAACTGAGGGCTTTTCTTTGCATGATAACGTATTAGACGGCGTTCATGCCAAAGATCAAGGATCTTCGTGGATCATTAGATGCGATGCTGAAGAAGGATTCAAAGTGAAAGTGGACACGAATTCAACAAAAAGCATTAAAGAAGCTCACGGATGCATTGTCAAGTGGCTAAACCTTGCTCATTATGACCCAAAACAGAAGATAGTCGTGGCAGCAGACGCTAGTGACTATGGCATAGGTTGTGTGATATGGCATAATATGCCGATGGATCCGAAAAGCCAATCGCACATGCATCGAGATCTCTCACGAAAGCGGAGAAGAACTGTTCGCAGATCGAAAAAGAAGCGTTGGGAATTGTCTTCGCAGTCAAGAAATTCCACAAGTACATATTCGGACGGAAGTTTCTACTTTTGACGGACCATTAACCATTGCTAGCCATCTTCGGTGATAAGAAAGGAGTTCCAGTCTACTCCGCTAACCGACTCATGAGATGAGCTACAATCTTGCTAGGATATGACTTTGACGTAGAGTATGTCAAAACTACGAAGTTTGGACAAGCAGACGGCTTGTCACGGTTGATGAAGAAGAATCATCCGAAGAAGACGTCGTGATAGCTGCCGTTGAAAACGACTAAACTACATGTTGAAGAACTGTATAAGGAAATTGCCAGTGACGGCATCAGATGTGCAGCCCTACACGAGAGAGGATCCAGTGCTAAAAAGAGTAATGACCTACGTGAAGACAGGAGAGTGGCCAGACGTAAATGGAGAATTGTCACATTTTCGAAAACGAAGAGAGACATTGTCAATCGTGGAGCAATATCTGATGTCAGCCGAAAGGGTTGTGACCCAAGGAGTTTCGAAGAAATGTTCTGAAGGAACTACATAATGGTCATCCAGGGATTGTAAGGATAAAGAAACTGGCTCGAAGTCACGTTTACTGGCCGAATATAGACAAGGATTGCGAAGACTTGGTACGAAGATGCACGAAATGTCAGGAGTTAGCCAAAAATCCGACGAAGGTACCATTAGAAGCGTGGCCGTCCGCGACTCGAGTGTGGCAGAGGATACACATCGACTTCGCTGGACACATGCAAGGAGTTTTCTACTTGGTCGTGGTAGATGCTTACAGCAAATGGCCTAAAATTATCGAGATGAGCGATATCTCGGCTACGAAGACGGTGAAGGCTTTGAAAAACTTGTTTGCGAGATATGAACTACCGCAAACAATAGTGAGCGACAATGGTACCCAGCTCACATCGGATTTATACAAGAAGATGTGTGACAAAGGTGGAATCACCCACATAGGATTGCTCCCTACCACCCTCAGTCGAATGGACAGGCAGAGCGTTTCGTTGATACGCTGAAACGCGGGATCAAGAAACTAGAAAGGGAGGAGAGGCCAACAGAAGAGACTATAAATGTGGTGTTACAAGCGTATAGGACAACACCAAACACGAGCTTGAACGACAAGACGCCAGCAGAGTTGTTCCTCGGCAGGAACTTGCGCACAAAGTTAAGTCTGTTACTACCGATGACAGAAGATGCAGAAGACCCACTCGCACGAAGAAGACGAGAGCGCATGAAGGATCAGTTCGACAGAAAGCATGGAATCACCCGGAAAGAGTTCGAAGTCGGTGACTTAGTGTACGTTAAGCAGTAGAAGCCACCCCACTTCCACTGGATGAAAGGAACCGTATGAGACGTATGTGACGCGTAAATTATGAAGTTATGGTTGGTGATGAGATATGCAAGAAGCATGCAAATCAGCTACGGCATCGAAGCGACAATGAACAGGTTGCCTTACGACGACAACTTCAACAACAATCCGAAGCCTTGAAAATACTGTTAGATGTTCTGACAGAAGACGACACATTACCGAGGAATGGCAATGCTGCTGAAGGGAGTTCCGAGCAAGCGATCGCGAGCGATGTGCCAGCACCCGTGGATTCAACGACTTCGACGTCGACATTAAACCACGAGCCCTCCACGCCGTCGACAACGCTTCGGAGATCGAACAGTACGAGAAGACCTGTACAACGGTTCCAACCTAGTGCATAATGTTTTATTGTGTGTTTGTTTCATTAAATTTGTAGTTGTCTAAGTTTCTATGTATGACCGATTTCTTAGCTGTTCATATTTGTAGTTCATGCTTTTATCGTAGGCTAGTTTTGTGTAACTACCCTAGTGGGGGAGGTGTTGTGTTATGTCTGATCAGTTGTTTTCTCGTATGATCTGCCCTCGCTAAGGCGCCTGCGACCTCAATGCGCGGGAAATGAGCGCTATAAAAGGCGCTTGCTGTTAACCATTGACAGTTCGACTGTTCACTCACTGCCTCTTTTATTATACTGTTCTCTGTTATTTTCTAATAAATATTCTTGTTCCTCTCGTGTGCTGCCTCGGGACGAAGATTCGACGTGTCCGACGTGGAGGACACAACAAAAATAATTTTTAAAATTTTTTAAAAATTCAAATAAGCCTTGTAAAAAAATTTTCTCGGAGGCGTCAGCCACGCCCCCTTTTTCTAGATTTTAGGGGTCATGAGCCCTCAAATGAAGGTGCGTGGCTGAGGCCACGCACCTTCATTTGAAAAAAAATTTGCCCCCCCCCCGGTCCTTCTACCGCCTTTTTGATGTCATTTTTCTCAAAAGTCGGCAAAGCGAAAATTTGCTATGGCGATGTTCGTCGCCTCGTCTACCTAAGCAGTATAGCACCAAACATTGAATTTTTGAGTATTTAGCTCAATGAAATCGATGATTTTATAACCATAAACCATCCCTTCTGCTTTTTCTGGATTATCCGTCTACCGTCCTTTCTCAGGGCTGCTTTTAGATGCTCGACGTCAACATTACAGAGACGTAAAAAGAAGACTTCCATAATTTTAAAGAAAATTTTTTTGAGACCTTCAAGCATTTTTGAACCTCTAGAGAAGCTATAGCATTCTTCTCTTACGATCAGCAGATATTTCGAGCTGTTTTGTACGCATTTCAACCTAAACGGGAGACGATTCAAATTAGTTGTCGAAAATAAATTCTTTTCTTCTTTGGTCTCTCACATTTGATGCTGGAAAACTTTTCAAATTCTACTGATTTAGGAGACTGAAGTAAACATTCTGGTAGAGCAGGCTTAGAGCTTTTAAATGCATGTATACATTTTGCAAAACACCGTGCGAAGTATTGTGAAAAAAATCGGAAGAAAAAATGGGACAGAAATTATACACAACTCAATAGATAGAACCGCGCTTGCTTCAATAACTTCCATTCTAGAATAGAACCGAAGCCACATCTTTTCTGTAGTCTTTGAGCCTTCACCGAACCTGTTATAATTCTTTTAGGCTAATGTTTCGGCCAGCTTGGCTTCGTTAGAGTCTGTATATGAAAAGTATAAGTAACCTACTTGAAACGCACTACCATCTGCAGGAAAAAGACCAAAAAGTTGTGTTTGTTGATAACCTAGCTTGAGCAGCTCATCTTACACTTGACGTTGGAACAACCATCGCTGAGTGACATTCAGTGAATAAATGAGTTAGGGTTTCTGGCTTGAAAGTAGTAAATCTAACCCACATAACTCAAGGAACGGCGCGAGCTCATTTGTTATGGCAATAAACTCGTCTTTTCCGTTCATCTGTAGGTTTCCCTTTGAAACAACAAACCTTTCATATTTTTACCCCTCCAACCTCTGTTATTTTCGATAGAATCAACACTGAGACGTCGAATTCTGTGCCATGGTAATGCAGTTACATTTGTCTGAGGGTGTTGAATATCTGCGAAACTTTTTCTTCAAAAATTCTTTGATCCGCAGGCACAGCGGTCTTCACGTTTCTCCTATATACTCAGCTGCGCATGATTGCATGTAATCAGGTAGCTCACGCCAGAAATACAATCTTCTGGTCTTTGATGCAGATAATGCAGTCCTTATTCATAAATTCTGTCGTATGATCTGTTGCGAATTAAGTGCTGCCTGGAATTAAGAGGAGGAATTATAACTACTCGCAACGAGTTCTGCAAGTCTGACTTTCCTCTGATCGCTTGCTAAACCCATCTGACATGAACAATATGCGAAATGACACCTTATCCTTACATCAAATCTGGCGCCCCTTCGAAAAAAGCGAAATTACTTTTGGAATGACCTAATATATTTGAGATGTAATTCGACACTGAGGAATGCAAGCCAGCCATTGGACGGAAATTCGATTCTTTTTGATTTATCCGACATTTTGAGTTGTTCGGGATTCTAATTTCAAACTTCAAGAGGATCAGACTATTTGCGAAAGCAAGTACTGTCTTGTAGAGCTTGATTTGCTTTATCAAACCGCTCCCCTCAATCTTTCTTGGGGTTTTTCTGGTTGCGGTACCATGGCATTAAAAATTCGACATTCTTGACAATCTAATACATGCTGCCCACATAAAATTGTGTACTCTGAATAAACAAGTAAGATATGTTCAGAAATGATGATGACGTACTCTCGGGTGCACTAAACCACGCGTTCACTTCTTTTTATTCAAACCTTCACATACCTTGAAGCAAGCATCCGTTTTCCTGAAATAAGTCCATCCACTTTCACAGTGTCCAGGGCAAGCTAAAAAGCAACATGACGGGCAAATCTTATAGGTCGAGGAGATTTTCCCCTTGATGTAGTGTGCTTGCGATGCCGAGAAAATGCGTAGAATTTGCGCGCCATTGGCCATTAATTTGATGTCGGCATTTTGCGGGCGCTAATGCCGAAATTGTGAGCTTATTGTTAGCTCTTCGTTCACAAACATTACCGCGTTTATTCGGCACCGCAAGCACACTATATCAAGTGAAAAATCTACCTGACTGTGGCTGGTAAGATCCAAAGCTGGTCGGCCAAAAATTGGCACTTTCCATTTCTCGGAATTTTCATCCAACGATACCACTTCGCACAAGATTTCAAAAGTTACGGAGACTTACAGAGCTTATCAACTTTAGTGTCGGGTGCAACAGCATCTTCGCTCCCGCGCAGCCGCTTCGCCTTGACTTTGCACTTTTTTCAACATGCTCTCTGAGTACTTTCTCAGAGCGAGGGAAAGGCTGAGCTTCAATCGATTGGAAATGAGTAACATGTTCGCGGAAGAGACACAGCGTCCAGCGCGGGAGCAGAGATGCTGGTGCACCCAATACTGCGGTTGATGAGCCCCGTACCGACACTAAATTTGATAAGCCCTTTACGTGTAAAATTCCCATTCTCATCAAGTGGGAAGGAAAAAGTAGCTTATCACCGATATAGAATAAGCATAACAATCGTTATAGCCATCATTTGCTGGAGTAGCTAGTTCGTAAACTGATTCTCAAATTTGCACAAATCTTAGTTTTTGAGGTTTGATGCTAAAGTCTGAGGATAAATTTTTCCCACAAAACTCGGGTCTTTGCTAAAAAAGAATTTTCTCTTCACATATTAGGTCAACATGGTGCATACACACTAAGAGTTTGCGCAACATACGGTGGAGTAGGCAGCGTATGCGTGCCCGATTTGACTCAGGCCTAACATACATGAGTGGACTTATTGACCTTGAAATTGGAAGGCTGATAGTACAAATTATCAAGAATTTTGGTTTTTTTGGAAAAGGGGGGGGGGGAGGACAGCCAACATGAACGATAGCTTGCACCAGCTATAAACTTTGCATAGGTCAAATCTTTCCCAAATTGCATATCTACGCATGAAACCGCAAAATTTGGAGAAAACACTGGAGCTTAAAGGGCCCTAACTTTACTTTTCGACATCATTTTCGATCCAGCGAAGGTTGCTTCAGAAAAGAGACTATATGCGCGGCAAATTGAAAACGTTTACTACAGATGCATGGTTACGAAACACCCGAAATTGTATCCTTTTCCATGACCCAGCTTCATTAGCTTCGTTTTCCCTTTATCATAAACAAAAACTTTTCGTGCAAAAAGAAAGGCTATGCACGCGCCAGAACCTCTATCCGTTACCATATACAAGAAAGTACGCAAACGTATCGATTGCCATTTAAAAAGATATTTATCCAATCGATAGCATTATTTGGCCAAGAAATCAAACTGAGATTTATTTGCTTGCAAAAATCAAAAGATCACACCAAGTCGCTGTCTGACCCCATAACAGATTGAACGCCGCACCTACCACACGAATTCATCTGGAACTTTTGACTCCATTTACCAGGTTTGCGCTATTTCGCTTACATTATAATGCACTCAATTTTACTAGTCGCCGGTGCTTATCGAACTCACTTTAGTCCTTTGAAGATTCAGAAGATTTCGTGTAGTTTGAATCTATGAGGTCGTCTCATAAATTCGCAGAGTTTTCATTCTCGATCTTATTTTTTTGAGGTGCGTTTGATTTACGGCATGATGCATACAACATTGAGAAGAGCTGATCATGCTCTTCAAGATAGACTTATTGTATTTGATAAAGGGCTGATCTACTTTGATTTATCACCTTTCAAAAAAAGATTTCTCTAGGCAGAAAGAGGCATATCCGGCACTTGCTCTTTTTTTACGAAAAAAGAACGAAAAAAGCGTTTTGTACACATGTTTTTGTCAATTATGGAAAATGGCGTTCCGTCATTTTTCATAATTGGCAATCTTTCCGTCAATATGAAACAAAAAAGGAATGGATTGCCAGGAAATACAAAGAGTCAACAAGGTATTTCCCGAACAAGACTTTTTGCAGCATAGGCAAGACGACGTCCTGCATCAAAAATCGCAAGACAAGTATAATACGCTCGCCCACACCGTATACGAACCGACTGCACAGCCTAAACGAATATCTGTTGCAGAAAAAGCTTAATAACAGGTCTAGTGAACTTTTCTGTGCGAGAAAACTGGGCCCCCTACGGCAACCGTCGTAATAGCTTGTCACGCAAGACTTGACCGGGAGATACATTAGTATCCGATGTACTTTTGAGGTCTCGCCCTAGCATGATTTCGTCTGCTCCAGTCTATCACAAATCATATGGACGGCGTCTGTTTTGATTTTGAAGACAATCTTAGGCGCTGGTCAGGCAACTTTTTCGGGACCAGATCCGCTGAGTCCTAAAGAAAACAAAAAATTTGACTGCATGGTGACAGAAGGTTGTGCGCAACAATGGAATATACATTGTTGATTGAATTTTGTTGATTTTTTGCCATTTTGTTAATTCCACGGACTTATGAAACGATCCAGTATATCTGAATGAAGCGTTCAATGTAATCACACAGATTGTTTTCAATAAATGTGCCTCATTCCTTCCTAATCCTTCCTTCTTGCTCACATGCTAAACATATCGATGTTGCTCGAGGTGCTGCACATCTGAAAGGAGGCGGTAGTAGTCGTGAATCCTAAAGTTTCTAACACACGGCTTCTTTGAGATTTTCGACCCATCAGTCTGACTCCTACCACCATAAAAGTAATGGAGCAAGGTATGCGTATTAAATAACTCTCATGGCTTGGAAAACTTTACGTGATCCCTATCAATGTCACGGATTCGTGGAAGGGTCATCTACTGCCAATAATCTAGTGAACTCACTTTTTGATGAGAATTTTACCCCTCAAACCGTGGTAATCCGTTGATGCGGTTCGAGTTGATTTTTTTGCGAGGCAATTGATAGCGTTCAGCACGGAAAGCTTTTAAACGGGCTAGAACAAATTGGTCCAAAAGGAAACATTTTGAATTGGCTGAAATCATATTTGCCCTATAGATTAATAACCGTCAAGGTACAGTCTGCTCCAATCGGGATCAGGCCGAAGCGTCAGCATAAATTTGCGCGCTCGCAGCGCTAGCGGTCTGCGCTGCATATGCGCGCTGTCGGAGAGAGCCAAAGGATTGAAGAGAGAGCAGAGAAGCAGGCCGTGGGCGTGACCGCGAGACCCTAGCGACGCGGGCTCCCGCCATGCCAATTTTGGCCTGGTTAGGATTGGGGCAGACTGTAGAACACCACTTTCGGAAGAAGCCCACTTACGAGACTCGACTCGAGTCCTTCATGACAAGGTGTTCACAGTTTAGACGTGTGTAGTTAGCTCTTGTCTTTGTCTTTCAACTTATTCGCAAAGAGCTTATTCTTAAAGCCGCATGCATCTACATCTCCGCCAGATAGAACATCGCAGCTTACAAAGAAAGCTTTATACCCTGAAGCTCCGAACTTTCGGATTACAGCTGCTTACCCCTGAGTATTCCTACTATCCTTCACTACGATCATATTGAACAGGAACGAAAAGCTGTACAAGCCGCTGTGGTTCATCGCAAATTTCATGACTCCAATCCATCATTTGTTCTCATCAGCAACATGCTTAGCACTGTTGGGTAGACGAACTGTACAACTTTGGAATGTTTCGCTAACTCTGAATAAAGAAAAATGACTTTGAAGAAAAGACGGTCGGCCGCCAGGGATTATTAAGGGATATAAAAAATGCTGGAAAACGCGGCTTGTACAGCTTCTCGCTCCTGTACGATATGTTCATAGTAAAGGATGGTACGAATACTCACAGATGGGTAAACAGCGTGAAATCCAGAGGTTCGGAGCTTCAGGATATGAAGCCTTCTTTGTAAGCTGCGTTCTCCTTGGCGAGGATGTTAAAGGCAATGCAATGGCTCGGCAAATCCTCGAACTGAAGTTTTTTCGCCTACCTGGGGTAAGTCAACGTGCTGGTTTCAAAAATACACTTTGAAGAGCACGAAAATGCCGAAAACAAGCATTTTCCAAAAATTCTCAATTTGAATTTGGACGAGTGGACCACTCCTCGCCATGGCTAAAGACGTAAAGAGTTGCGGGACCATCATGTTTATAACATTGCGGCATACCGCCTCTGATGGTGGGAGGGGGGGGGGAGATAGCAAGCTCGTCCGAGCGCGTGTAAGAATGGCTTGCGCGCACGGGTTTAGGGGCGGTTTTCTGGCAAGGGCACATGTACTGCGCTCGGATTACTCTCTTCTGATGTTTGGGATGCAAGCAACCTTCCATATCAATTTTCGAGATGTTTGGTTTTGCCGAGCCACTGCCTTCAATGCAGGCGGGCCTTACTGCGAGTAAATATTGGATCTTCAGACCGACTAGTAAAAATGAAGGGTTTATCATTCATTATTCACGTTTTGTGATTTTACGATTTGTGTTTAGTAGTTTCTTCTAAATTCCACATTGGCTTCGTGCATTACCGTGTACCGCGCTGCAAGCTCACACCGAGCTGCTCAACTGAATTAATGCACTCGATTTACTTCGAGTGAAATATTCTTGAAACCACTTTCATTTTCTGCTTCATAGTTCAGTTTTCCGTTCTAGGTGTTTCATGTTTACTAATGTATGTGCACGAGGTGGACTCTCCAGAAATCAAACCACTTTCATTCTCAGACTCTGGTGTAGCCGTACCCATAGGGCAAACAAATACAGTTATACAATACGGTTACAAATACCTTTATAGTTTATTTTTTTCCATGGAGGCGATGTAAGAGAAAACTCAAGGTGGATCTTGAGCTTTCTCTTACATCATACAGTTTGCTTGGGCACGCATGGATAAGCCCATTTGCTTGAGCGTCTTTTTTGGCTTGGGAATGATAACTCAAAGGTTGTAACTATACACCCATTGAGAGGATCTAAAAACAATCGCTCATTATTTCTCATCATTTGCTTTATAACAGGACAAAATTGTCTAACTAATATCGTTTGACACAACGCTGTATGCATAAATAAGTAAAATGTTGACAATTGTTAGACCACACTATGTTCATTTGCAGCTATCGTTCACTTTGGCATAAACCCCTTTTAAGTTGCCATATATATAAGTTTGTCTTTCTGCGTGTGTCTGCACGTACGTTCTGAATACAAAACCCAACAATAATCTGGAAAAATACCCAATCTATCGATTTTAACGATTATTTTTGCGCTGGACTTAAGGACTTTGTGGTTCATTACAAAAAATGGAGGGGGGATGGCATACAGATGTGAAACAAGGCAGCGAAATGTAATGTAGAAGAACGAAATGACGATTTACCATAGTGTGTTGGCGTTGACAGAGCAAAGCCGCGTATCTCGCTATAATATGATATTTCTCTGTTTGGGGATGCGTGGAAAGAACAAAGGCTTATGTTCTACATTGCTTTTCCAGTAGTTTTTCTTTACGTGAAGACCGAGTAGCAGTTTGTGGGATCTTTTGCAGATATCAGATTTTTGGGTTGATCATGTATTTTTGTATTTGCATTCTTGTAGACAAGGGTTTGCTCGAATAAGCGAGACTTGTGGGATTTTCTTAGCTCTAATCAATAGACCTTCTCATACGTTTGTTATGTTGTGATACTGCAGGGTGTAAACCCATACGCTGGATATTGATCTATAGATCCCCGTCTTGCGCCTCCTACCAAGCAGAGCAAATGATAAGAGCACTTACGGATTTGCTAGCCTGCAACAGCCCAGTTGTCCTTTTGAGAGATTTTAATTTCCCGGATGTAATCTGGGAAGGTACTATCGGGGCAACGCTACCACTGCTCAATCCAGAAGTTTTGTGCAAATATGTCGACTTCACAGGCTTGCACAAAAGGTCAAGTTCAGCACTTTGGGTCACCATGTGTTGGATTTGATTTTCACTAATGATTCAACATTGGTATATGGAGTTTTTGCAGGGGAGCCGCTGGGTAATAGTGATCACGCATCAGTTAGGTTCAGGGTCAGCTGTCACGATTTCGATTATGAAGGTGTAGAGTATTACAGAGATTTTAAGCATATGCAACTGGAGAATTTGACTTACTACCTGTCCACTGTGGATTGGTATGGGTCCTTCAATAGTGTTAACACAGTTGATGAGTTGTATGAACTATTTCTTGGAGTACTCTATCATGCAATTGATCTATATGTTCCTCTTGCTTGCCGCTCCTCGAAGCAATCTGAGATTCCGGATTACCTTAGAAACCTTGATCAAAGAAGAAAGCAAGCATGGGAAAGAGCAATGAGTGGCAGTGATAACATGCGTTGGGAGGCTTTCCGAAAGCTTAATGAGAAGTTTAACAAAAGGCTTAAGAAATATTATTCTGCACTTGAAACAAAGGTGATCAGCTCGGGCAACAAAGCGTCTTTTTTTAGAATGCTTAACTTAAGACTCAAAAATAAAAGAGAAATTGGAGTTTTGCTTACTGAGGATGGTGAACCCATTTATGAGGATAGAGAAAAGGCCAACTGTTTTGCAAGCGTATTTGAAAAAAGTTTTATGGACGAAAATATTTTGGATACTATAGAAACTTCTTCCGAATTTCAGCAAATGAGCGATGGAGTTTGGTTTCAAAGTGAAGAAATATATCAACTTTTAATCAGATGGCCCAAATCATCTTCACTTACTCCCGATTTTTTGCCACTTCACTTTATCAAGTCTATAGCTCACATTATTTGCGGTCCTCTGCAATTTATATTCAAGTTGAGTATGATGCGGAGCGAAGTCCCTTCTAGATGGAGGATATCTTTTGTTACACCAATTCCGAAAAAGAAGCCAATGACTTGTCCGAGCAATTTCAGACCAGTAAGTATAACTTCCATATTTTCGAGACTGTTTGAGAAAATCTTGAAAAAATGCATCGTCAATCATTTAACTGATAAAAAGGTTATCTGTTCCTCTCAGCATAGTTTTCAAAAAGGAAAATCTACTGTCGATGCTCCAATCAATGAATGACTGGACCCTCCAGTTGGATAAGGGGTGTAACACCGATGTTATTTACTTAGACTTCTCAAAAGCATTTGATAAGGTCACGCATAGTAAACTAATAAATAAATTGAAAGCAGTCGGTCTGCATCCCCGTATAGTTGCTTGGATAAATGCTTTCTTAGGGTGTAGATCTTTTGTAGTTCGTGTCGGCAAAGCTTTCTCTGAACCTAGAATGATGCAATGTGGTGTACCTCAAGGAGGGGTATTATCTCCCATTCTTTTTAACATTTATACCCACGAACTCCCTCGTATACCATTGTTGAGGGGTGTATCTTGTTCTGCTTTTGCTGACGATTTCAAGTTATATGGAGTTGTTATGGATGTTGCCGGTCCTGATCGGCTGCAGAGTGCTCTTGATGAGGTTTATTGCTGGTCGCAGATATGGGGTCTTCCTATCTCGAAAGAAAAAACAAAAGTAATGCACATTGGGACAAGTAATCCTAAGTATCTTTATTCGCTAGGGGAGACTTCACTTGAGTCTGTTGGAGGTCAGAGACTTAGGGTTTCTGGTCAAGAATACTCTTTGTTTTGATGACCACTGTAAAAAGATAGCTGACAAAGGTACAGTGGCGGTGTACAATCTGTTTAGGGCGCCTTCAACAACAAATCCGGTAGTCATCCTGAATGCTTATAAAAGTTACATAATGCCTATGCTTTGGTACTGTGATATACAATCCCTACAAGCGCAAAAGTATTGATTATCTGGAAAAAGTTCAAAATAGCTTCACACGTAAGCTATTGATTAGAACTGTTGGGTTTGTCTATGATCAGATTCCAAGTAGTAGAACCCGCGATAGAAACCTCGGGTTAATGACACTGGCCTGCAGAAGAAAGAAATTTGATCTTATTATGGCCCATAAAATATTCTATGGAGACTGTGGATTGAATCGTGATTCGTATTTCACAACTAAAATATCAAAAACTAGGGGTGGGACAAGAAAATTGATTATTCCAAGATCTAAGCTCAATGTTCGAAGAAATTTCTTCATATGTAGAGTTTTGCCTGAAGTAGATACCCTTATCCGTGAACGAGTGTTTGTTCCTAAGCTGGCTTCTTTCAAAAGATTGTTAAGGAGCCATTTGCAAAAAAATGAAGTTCATTAATTGTTTCGTTATGGCGTTGTTTTGATCTTTCATTGTTAGTTTTGTTGATCTTTATCTGTTTTCGGTAGGGTTTCCCTACGTAATAAAATAAATAAAATAAATTTTTGAGGTTTCACCTCATCGCGCCAACATGATTAGCACATTATTTCCTTAATCTCAGTGGTAATTAATACAAAAGAAATACTTGATGAATTCTACCAGTCATATGAGTGCCAACAACTTTTCTGGGTAGGATTAACTTTGTTATGGCAGAAAGTCAAAAAAAACGTAAGTTTCTGGCAACGCAAAAATTCAATTTTTATAGCGAAAAATGGTTGATTGTTGATTAGCTTTTCAATTTTGACGCTGGCAATTTCTTTCACGTGCGTCATAGCCTTTGACAAAATTCTTTGAAGAAAATCTCAAAGCCTTTCAAGAATACTTGGATTGAGATCTTTCCTACGCTTTCGATACTGCTGCCAGCCTACTGACGCAGTGCTTTGCAACCTCACAGTTCCAAGACCGTCGATTGCCCATTAGATAATACACGAAAACGAATATATGTGCCAACCTTGTTGAGCCTGTAGTGGGCAGGTGCAGTTAGGTTCCTCCAAACTTCTGTAAATTGAAGGTTCTCACTGTATGATGTCAAAGTGAAGCACACACCTGGAGATTAGCTCGTTGCCGACCGGATTTATGAAAGCCTTCACCACCGAAATTGCAAGAAGGAGGAACTCTAGTGAACACATCTTGATATCTGCTCAAATTAGTGTATACCGTTGCATATGTAAGCGATTCTTGATTTTCGTAATTTGAATTGAAGCAATTTGAGAAATTGCAGAAAAAACATTGTGGTTCCACGGTCTGTAATCATTTTGCGCTTGATAATTTGATGAAATTTTTTCAAAGAGATCAAGCTCCAAACACGAGTTGTCTAAGCAGCCAAGAGTCTATTTTTCTGAACAAAACTGTGAGTAGTAAGAAAAAATTGCGGCACCGGTTGCTCATCTCGAACTTTTCAATAACCTTGAATCAATACTGCGTGAGACAAGGATTTTGGTAATTTGCTTTCAAAGTCTAGAACAAAAAAAAAACTCTCGAGAACGCACACGAGTAACTGCTTCTATTGCTTATCTTTCTGCGAAATCAATTTTATCAGAAAGACACTAAAATGCATTGAATACGGAGTGATTGGCTTGTTTTTTACAGTTTTAGGCAGAATATCAGTTCGTCGTCACTTTACGCTTCGTGCTCTGTAGACTTATACACTTCCATCTTTGAGCACTGTATTTTCTTTGAAGAAATATCACCAGCAAAAGAAAAGTCGAGTTATGGTTTTGGCTGTAGCACATTGGAGGGACACTAGTATTGTCAGTGCTGGCAAAAAGACCCGTGACTCATTCAACTGTCAATGAATAGATCTTATTTTAGTAAGGCTGTGTGTATATCTGCCTAACATCTGTTGGCAAAATGCGCCTTGCTTCCTTTACTTATTCAAAAAAAATCAAAAATTCTGAAAGAAGCAAAATTACGCTGACCAAAATTATGGATCCGCCTAAGGTTCCTATTTTTGAAGGCAACCCTAGCTTTCAAAAGCTTTTTAGTACATCCACAGTCAAACGTGTCAAACAGCGATTTTACTCGTGTTCTGCCGTGCCTTCAAATAACCGATTATTTGCTTTATTGGCTTGAAAATGCTTCCACATAAATTTTGCTTTGAAATCTGCGTTTGAATAGGGAATTCTCAGCATCCTAGAAAAAAATATTGACTCTAACAAACTCATAGCTATTACTGGCACTTATCAAAATCAACACGGTGGTAACATACTCTGAAATCTCTTCTCACTTTTAAAAAATATTTACTGTGTAAATTTCGAAAGGGTAACACATGGTAAAAAATTTTTGGATTACATAACAATCGTAAGCAGCGAAACTTCTTACAAGGGAAGCGTCAGGACTCGCAGTGGAGTTTTCCAACGAAATGTATATAGGTTTGTAGGTCCTGGCACGCAACTTACAAAACAGCCTTCCGTATCTGCCAATCGGTCCTCCGGGCCGAGATATAAGCGTTTGAATTTCGCGAGATCGCGCGTCAACACAAGTACGCGCGAGCTACCTCAACATTGCATGGTGGCGTAGCGCAGTGGCAAGAGGTCGGGTTCATGATCCTTGAGGTCCAGGTTCGAATCCTTTCCTCGGCAGCACTTTTGCATTCACTTATTTTTGTATTCGATGATAAGCTGAACGTTCTAGCATCATCACTAACAAATTTTATTGCAAAAATACAGTAGTCTACTGGTACTTCAAGCGGTTTTATGGTGATGTACACATATGATAACTTACAATAAAATGTTGAAAACAAATGAGGTGCTCGCAATAGGCACAGCGAATAAAGTGCTCTTCCTCACAATTACTTATTTGGCAAGTCCCTACAAGATCGGATGGGAAGCAGTATTGCACAGGAGTGTTGTTTGTGTTGTTGTTTTTGTTTCAATCACTGCAAGTTTCGAACGTACCGCTGTCTAATTCCAAAATAGACTATAGTAGCTTACTTTTGCAATAAATTTTGTTAGTGATGATGCTAGAACGTTCAGCTTATCATCGAATACAAAAATAAGTGAATGCAAAAGTGCTGCCGAGGAAAGGATTCGAACCTGGACCTCAAGGATCATGAACCCGACCTCTTGCCACTGCGCTACGCCACCATGCAATGTTGAGGTAGCTCGCGCGTACTTGTGTTGACGCGCGATCTCGCGAAATTCAAACGCTTATATCTCGGCCCGGAGGACCGATTGGCAGATACGGAAGGCTGTTTTGTAAGTTGCGTGCCAGGACCTACAAACCTATATACATTTCGTTGGAAAACTCCACTGCGAGTCCTGACGCTTCCCTTGTTAGTTGGAAACAAAGCAATACGACTTCGTGGACAACTATGAGCAAGGTGTACTATTTTCTTTACATACAAAAAGCTTATACTTTGTTTTGAACTTTGATGGCGCAAAAGAATTTGAGACAGAAACCCCAGACTACGATTATCGATGTCATGTTCTCCTCAGCAGTAAAACGCAGAGTTTTTTTTTAATTCCCATGTCATCAAGCATGGTACATAGATGGAAACGCGTTGCTTTCAATCCTGCTGAAGAACTACCGAATATTTTACTCGAACGCAGCTTTAGAGGCGAAACTGAAAGAACCTCTAAAAGATGAAACACATAATCCGTTTTTAAACGGTGCGACGCAGCTCGATTGAACCAACTATTTGATATGCTTGACTGTCTATCCAAATGTATGGAAACCTCAGGTGGACCTATATTTTTGACAAGCTGCTTTTGAAATTTTGATTTTCCTGAAAAACCAAACGAAAGCTAGGATCTTCAATGACTGATAGTAGGTATTTACAAAGCTGTACCAGATTTCAAATCAACTGATTGACAGCTAAATGAGTAATGGCATTTATTACGGTGGACCTATAATTTAAAAGCAGTGTATAGCAACAATTTTTCGCATAGCTTCAAAACCTCATTTGCGAGAAACAACATAATTTATTTTAAAATATATGAATTGTTTCACACTGCGAGCGCGCACGAAAATGACAGTAATAATTTCCAGGAGAAAAATTCGTGGAATTCTTTTATCGGCGAAATTTGCCAAATCAATTCTTTTCAAACCTTGCAAGGCTTGGCAGCTGCCCACAAGTTTACCATCTAGCTTATACCAATTTAACAGGCATTACTTCTACAACCAAAAGCTAACAAACACGCAATGACCGAAAATTCGAGACTAAGGAAGCTTCAAAGCACAGATTCTGACTTAGCTTAGCAGCCGGTCAAAAGAAAAGCATCAAATGTAAAGGCTGTCTCAGGACGATATATTTTTTATTGCAATGAGCGTGCGAACAGGACGCAAGGCTCAAAGGCAGTGGCTCAAGAAAATTTTACGAGCTTCCCCAGGGTCCAGTTGTGCTTAAAAAGTAAAAGTGCTTTTTATAACGTTTTCCAGCCTTGGAGATCGCTGGAGGGAATGGGTAAGGGGTCGCCAACTGAGTCGCAATTGGCTGCCTAATCCGATCTGCCGACTGCCGCCAAAATGGGTGTTACAGTAGATTGCGGCAAGTCGCTGCTTTTAGCGGGAATCGCCACACCCTCAACAATCTCCAAATCGGACGCCGAAGAGGCACTTTTTTTGACTTTTCAAGCACAGTCTCAAACTAGGTTCAGGTGCGAAAAGCTCGCACTCATATTTCTCAAGCCACTGCCTTTAAGCGAAGCACTTGAGAGGTATCAAGCCGCTCAGGAGAGGGATACTGCTGCGTAATGGATCGGAACTTTAGCTAGCCTTTGCAGTCGACTTTCTGCAAGCGAAAATTTTGTATGCATGAAGTTGCTATGGGTCTCAAACCAAATTTGCAAGGTCCAAGGCTGGATACTGCCGGAACAGTTCCAGCGCAGTCTTAGCATTGTGCTGGGACTGTTCAGGAACTGTGTTGCATGCCTGCAGCTACCGAGTGAGGTTTTGAGCGGCGGGAATGGAGTACTTGAATTTCTTCAACGGTTTTCGTTGTTATTTTACTCATTTTTGTCTCATTGTTGCACCTTCCCTCATCTTTTGTTGGGGTGAATTCCCAATCAAAGCAAGGTTCGAGAATGGACGCTTTTGCATGGCCTGTCTTGCGTGATATGTATCCTTTGCGCTTTTGTTTTCCTTCGTGATTTGTCAGACAATCTTCTTTTAATTCAAAAAGTTGCTGCGTTCTCGAAAATACCAGCTGTCATTAAGGAAGACTGATACATCTTCACGATAGCTGAAACCGCAAGTTCGGGTCTTTTAACGAGATTGGGTTTTGGGCTGTTAGTCTCATTTTTTACGAATTTATATTGCTTGCCCGTTCGTTTTCTTGATTACTGTCCGCTTTCGATTTGAAAACTCCAAACTTGGAGCAATCACAAGAATGGAAGCGGTTTCGCTTTGTGAGTCTTCAGGTAATGCACAAAAGCGAAATAGCGTTCATTCTTGTACCTTGGAACTTTCTTCAGCGCAAGAGGGAGCGAGATACACGAATGAAACAAAAACAAACCAAATTATACTACAAAATACGATAAAGAAAGTCAAAATCACCATTTTTCGCCGCTCAAGACGCATGCGGGCATTGACCGAGCTTGGCAGGTATATGCCTGGCAAACATTTTTTACTAATGAAGCTCTCACAAGTCTCTCAAAAACATTTTTGAAACCAAAAATGTAAGTGGGTGCTTCATCAGCAATTAACGCACAGGCCCTACCTATCCACTTTATCCACCTCACTTCACTATATAACAAGTCGATGATGTTGCCAAGCGGATGAAGTTGATACGTATAAAGGCTTTTGCCAAAAAAAAAAAGACAGAAAGAACTTTGCAGAATGACTGCATTTATTATACAGACAGTCATACACAACAATTAAATACATGTACATGCCCTCTAGTGTATCGCTTCTTTCTTGCACACAAATGTCCTCATTCTATCATAGCAAAGTGCGTCATTCCATTTTCGATACTCAATATGTGTTTCTATCATTGTATCACAGAAGACCTAAAATGAATATCTATGAACTGTTTGTAACAATGCTGTTCCTATGTTTAGAATAGAAACTTTTTGGGACATCAAAGTTTGTGCGCATACGTAGGCGGAGAAGGAAACTTTTCTGCGGCAATTTGCTTGGCTTTTCTATCGATTCACTGATTTGTTTGCGCATTCCTGAGATGAAAGCTTATCATGCTTCAAGCAAGCATTTTCCTATTGTCATGTAAACGGGAGCGATGAAACTACTGCATTAATAGGATCACTAAGATGCGGTAAATCAAATTGGAGCTGCGCCCCTAAGCCATCTATAGTATGAATGGGGGGAGGGGTGGGAGGGGGGGGGGGAGTCGCAATGTAGTACTTTTACTGGCAACCATATGGCGTCTCCTCATTGAGCAATGGCCCAGGCTGGACATGGAAAGCCAGCTATTTGCACATAAATTCTGGTGATGAAAAGACAATGTCATTGTGAAGGCGAAAATTTTCTGCCGAAGGGAAAGAAGGAAAGTAATGCAATTGAATAGACTATACAGCTAGCAAGTTCTCTAAAGAAAGCATTCGATTCGATAATAAGATTCGAAAGGACACATACATGGCAATTCACATAGACTGTAATTGAAAAACCCACTCAAAATTACGCAAAACTTGGCCCCACCGAATTATATGATATCAACTTTGATCTCCCTCATTTAACGCAAGACTTTACAATTTGAAATGCCCTCTTTCACTTTCACAAACATTCAGTCTTTTCTTCCAAAAATGTGCGCGATCATTTCTCTCCACAACCTTAAATATCGCATACCTTATATACTGCTTAAAACAAAAATGACGACCTACTACACTAATTTACGTCGTGCAAAAGGTCTGCAACTGAGATTTTCGAGCATCCAACATGCAGGGTAGATAGCAAGCTCGTCAACCACAGTTATGACTTAGAGATAATTTAGAATTACTTCTGAGCTGAATCGCACTTAAGATGCCCTTAACAGGTTCCTGAACAGACTAGATCTGGGAAGCGATAAGGCAAGGTTCTCCGAGAAAGGTACTTCTTTATTAGTAAAGAAAGATAGCCTAAACTGTTCTAACAAGGGAATGGTCAGAAGTCGAAGTGGCCATCAAACAAGCCGTATATCATTGATGCAGTATAAAACGCTGACTTCAAATCTGTCTTCCTTATCTGCTTATCGCTTCTGTGGACGAAGCTACAAGCAGTTTTATTGTGAAACTCATAAATAAAAACAGCGAAATTGAGCACATTGTTGCACTTTTAGCTCAGCTTCTCGCTTTAAACTTTGAAGTAAGCTAGCTGCATGATTTGGCCCTGTACTATGGCGAACGTGGCTTTGTACGGTTAAATCTTTAATTTCACGCATAACTTCTTAGCAAAATAATAGTCTTTAATGGCTTATAGCTTCGTCCAGAAAAGCGATAAGCAGGCAGGGAAGACAGAATTAGAGTCAGTTCATGCTGCATCTAATGGTATGCAGCTTGTCTGAATTGGCCACTTCGATTTCTGACCATTCCTTTGTAAGCATAAAATCACATCACCTTGCGTAGCTATACGCGACAGCTTCACTGCAATTACCAATCTATTGTGAAACCCAGAGATAAATTCGGGTTTGGTCAGGGAAAGAAAAATTGTATACGAAAAAGGAGGAGCAGCTAAAAAGTCCTTTGGAGTACATTTTATATTTCAGCAAGGCATGATGGGGCATTGTAGCGCATTCTTTACTTACGTTTTTGAAATCCTGTAAAATTCCGCCCAGGGGGTTATTGGTGCGCTCATCACGAACATGGTATTATTTGTATTGCGGCGACTTTGGCAAGATTAAGCTTGGTTGAAGGTAGACAGAAAAAAATCAAAAGTTGATTGAAACGGTACTAACTATAAGGTTATTTGGTGGGCTAATCACGGGTATGGTACTGATTATATACTGCGGTGAGACTGGGGTTGTTAGGGTAGATTTATGATAGGAGGGAGCAAAGTGACGGCACTGAAATTCAATGTACTGAGCTTTTGAAAGATGACGAAATTGAGCTTTCGGAACGAAGATGACAAAAATGCTCTCATTTTTTTGCGCATGTTATGCAGCTGGATTAGTAGCTGCACGTCAGGTCAGGTCAGAACCGCATAGTTGAGCCAAACTCGGTCCGTGGAATCCATCCGTTTTGTAATGACGAATATGCTATCCATTTCATACAATAGTGCCAACAGCGGTTACGGTTTACTTATTCGGGTAACACAGAATTTTTGAGTCTTTGCAAAATTCTGTATGCAGACTTTAATAACTTTAATACTACGTACAATGGTGCCATCTACATTTGCGGAGGCATATGATACATATGATAGACAGATCAAAATTATAAAATGGGTTAAATTAAAGTGCTAAAGTTATTCTGCATGTGAAGGGAGAACCTTATCTGCAAACATTGGTGGATTGCTAGGGAGATCAAAAGTTCTAACATGCTCAAACCTTTAGAAAAGATTTTTAAAGTGTTCATTGAAAGTATACTGTTAGCTTGTCATTGCACGCAATGGAGTACGGTAGTTATGTAATAGACTAAATTACTGAACTGAGCAAAACGTGGCTCAGTGCGACATGGCTTTCTAATCACGATTATGACATCCCTTCTTAATGAGTGTTTGTAACTGTGTCACTATAGGCATATATGTACGGGCAAAAACCATAGAATTGAGGGAAAACAGAAGCCATTTTGTTTGCTCTTTTCTTCGATGCATTTTACGTTTTCAGTGTGCTCATGAACATTACTCTAAAGCATTCATAGGTATCATTTTTATCAATTTTTACGTCTGAAAATCTTGTTTCAGAAGCGTCGAAGTTTAGCCGTACAAGCGGCTGACATGTTTTTCGATGACGTTAGAATCTTAAAAATTGAATGTCGGATTTTTGAAGTCCGTTTCTTTGAAACTTTGCTCGATGATAAATTTTCGAACTCTTCGAACAAAATTTTGGTGAAAGTTCAGATGTCCAAATTTCTCTACGTATAATGTACATAACGGAAGTAAAAATCAAAGGAGCAGGGTAAGGTTGGTTATGGCTTGAATGACCACGCATCATCATGTCACTCTTAGGCGAATCTGTGGAACTTCAGTAATCTCAAACTCTCGCTGTATCTTGACGTGAAGAATGTTGGTTACGAAAATCATCACAATGAAACTGCATCTTTGATGTGTGCTTTGTGGCTTGCTGGTCTAGTGGCATCGCATCGCGCGACAGTTAGTTCTGAGTTAGAGCGCAGCTTTGAGCTCGATTTTTGACTAGATTACTATCGACCCAGGTTTTCCCGTATATGTTTTCGCACGAAAGGGCATTTTTGGCGCCATTCATAGAAACTGCTTAAAAAGAGTACCTGTGCGCAATGCTCTACTCCTTTATCATTGTCCGGCTGATTTTTGCACCATAGTGTATAATCGACTTCTGTGCCGTCAGTCCAGGTCCACTCCTTACTGAGTGGGTACTTTGCTTGTTTTAGGCCTATCCAAGTTCCTTTCAAATAGTTGTCCCCCGCAACACCCGACTTTGCCAACTCTGAAGTTCGTCCTATGAGCATACTGCTGCTAATCTTCAAGTAAAAATTGAGTTTATTTACCAATTACGAACTCATTTTCAGCAAAACTATGGATAGAAGTTAAATGTCCCCCTTTCATCTCACAGATACTTTCAGCATGTCGAAATCTTCCAAGAAGAATCTCTGCAAAAAACACGATAAAGTAGCGTTTTTCGTCGAAGTGGCCTCACAATGAATTATGCATAGACAAGTTCGTCACGTGATTGAATAACCGCGTTCTAAATCCGCTGCCAATTGCAATGGATGGATGCTGCAGTGGTGATCGTGCTAACAAGAGAATGGTCAGAAGTCGAAGTGGCTAATCCATATAAGCTGCATACCATTCGATGCAGCATAAAATGCTGATTTCGAATCTGTCTTCTATATCTGAAGAGCGCCTTTGTAGGCGAAGTTACGAGCAGCTTTACTCTAAAAAATCATACAATTGCGAAATTAAGCATATTATTGCTCTTTTAGCTCACCTCTAGGCACAGGTCATATGATCTGACTTAGTTACATGTTTTGGTCGTCCAACACTAAACCGAGAATAGCTTTGTACGGCCGTATTTGCGTTTTACACGCACACTTCCTCAGCAAAATAATGGCCTTCAACGGCTTATAATTTTGTCCGCAAAAGCGCTCTGCAGATAAGGAAGACAGATTTAGAGTCAGCGTTTTATGCTGCTTCTTATGGTATTGTGTAGATTGGCCACTTCGACTTTTGCTTGTAAGCTGCAGAAGGTCACGGTTCTATTCCTCCCGACTGCAAATTAGGCACTTCGATATATTAGGTCCTTTCAAAAGTTACTTCGCTTCTTTCAAATGGGCGCCACATTTGATGGAACAAAGATTTCTAAGAGATTGTGGCAGCATTCGATGCAGCATTTTATCCTCTATCTAACAATCATGCAAGCGTTGCAATACATTAATGAACTTTCAGAAAATAACCAAAATTCACGACCCATGCTTTTTTAGATGAACAAGTTTCACAATTTTTCTAAACTTTTATATCAACCGTCCGAAAAAGTGCAAGTAACATGTTTATAGGGCAAACCCTACAGAATGCAAAACAACTTTTTTCTTTTTTCCATAGCTTGTCATTCATTTTTAACAAAATTTTAACTGGTGCTACCGATTTCCATACTTAGACAGCTAAATCTTCGTGGAACATCAAAAAAAAGAGCAGCTCAGGCACTACTCGATGCAGCATTTTCTTCTCTGTCTATTGTTTTCAATTCGTTATGTTTTCGGTATAAAATCATCATAACTCATTTTTAAAAGAGCCCCAGGCTGTGCTCGTAAAACTAGGAAATTTGGTATTTCGAATCCGTAAACTCTCACTTGCTTCGTAAAATTAGTGCTAACCCACAGTACCATCTTGGTAGTCTCAAATTTGAATGATTTTGATGTTTAATGCCATTATGGCTGATGCAGGCCTGCCAAAATCAGATGGTTTTGTTGGAATATCTTTTCAAAAACTATGGCGAGCTGTAAAGAGAAAAAAGTTGCACTGTATTCTATAAGGTTTGCTCTATCGAATTGTCACTTGAGCTCCTTCTGAGGATTGATATGAAAGTCTTAAAAAATTGTGAAACTTGACCATCTCAAAAAGCATGGGTCGTGGATTTTGGTTATTTTCCGAAAGTTCATTGACTGCGTTGCAACGCTTGCATAACTATTAGACAGAGGATAAAATGCTGCATCGAATGCTACTAATCTTTTTGAAATCTTTACTCCATCAAATGTGGCGCCCGTTTAAAATACGCGAAATTACTTTCAGACCGACCTAATATATTGAGTGTCCCGAAAGTTCTGTTTTTTTTTTCATTTTTGAAAGTTTGCCATTTTTGGCTATCTCGAAGGATTTGCTTTCTTATATTCCTTATATTTTCATTAGAAAGAAGAAGCCTTTCTCTTTGTGAGAGTACCTCGGTGGGCTTCTACTATACACTCACTGCAGAGGTAAAAATAGAAGTTGAAGACCAGTCAAACATTAACCTTTTTGAGTAAGGTCGTAAAAAATCTGGATGAACGCAAAAAATTTCAATTCGTCGATGCATATAGTTTTTGTAACCTTCTCTATGCAACAAAAAATTTGCTATGTTTAGACGCTTCTGTGCAAAGTTTTATGATTAGTTATAAAAAGCGATAAATCAATTAATTTTTGGCGTTATCTGTTGTAAATTCAAAATTTACAACTGCTCAGTGCGTGCTGCTCAATCATACGAAATTCGACCCAGAGCAGTTACTGGTAATATTCGAAAAATAATTGAAATAAAATTAGGCAGATTCCAGTTGCGAAGTCCACATTCTTTTTCAAACTGTTTTTTCAGAGTGACATGGTGAGCTTATCGCAAGCAGAAACTGAATGCATATTGGATCCAAAGGCTGCGAACGGATAAATGCCTAGTACTTGCCACAGTTGACCCACCTGTTTGTAGACTTATTCAGATTCGCTTTGGAGGCTACTGCCGAATGTAGGCGTAGGATCCAAAGGTACAAACACGGCTCTTTCACCAATAAGATGTAACACAAAGTTCACAGCGATGAGGGGTGGGAGACTATACAGGGTGTTTAAAAAGTTCGTGGCCTAAAGTGCTTCCAATTCGAAGTTGGACGCGCTTTTTGTTTTATTGTGCTCATCAGACCTAAATACCTTCTTGTTAGTTGCTTGAACGAAGTTCCAAGATTGGCACAGAACTTTATCGCACAGAATAACAGACTAACGTTTCGGCGAACTCGCCTTCTTCAGAGTATGAAAAGTCGAAGACACATGAGTAAACTATCCAATCAAACACCTCGTAAACTACAGAAAGGAGCCCAACCCTCTAAGAAAAACAACAGACCTAAATGCCATTATTCCAGTGATATCAACTTTCTTCGCGGTTTCTTTGATTTTTTTATTAGGTTGAAGCCATCAGTATAACTTTCCACACCGTTTTCCTTAAAACGCTTGCTACAAAAAAAGAAACATAATTCACAGAAAACCTGCTATACCTTCTAAGAGCCCTTTCTTTAAGGTTTCTTAAATGTGCTTTTACTTTCGTAGAAGTAAGTTCGTTTTTGGAATATCGTGCTTTGATAAACAAGAGATCCACTTTCAAGATTTTTTGTCAAAAAGTCCAGCACCAAAATTTTTATATTTTATCTTCAAAACTTTTGCAAGCGTGCAAAATTTTTGAAAACAGATACAGCGAAGGTCAGAGAGTTGTGCTACAAATACATGTTCAAATAAGACTTCCAAAACTTTTCAAACTGAAAAATTAACGCAAACTGGTGCCGCAACTGTCTGCTGTCATACAGCACATGAAAAATCTTCTTTAGCAAGCTACCGAAAATTTTTTGTTATATAAAGAAAGCGTAGATCTAGGTATAGTTGTCCTCACCCCACTAATCGGTCGGTGGTCGAATTTGAATTCGAACTGGAGCAGGCCAGCCGCGGCAGAGCGCGGCAGACCCGCGCCTCAGTGCAAGCAGTTGGCTAAGGGGCGGCGTCTGCCGCGCCCTGCCGCGACCGGCCTGCTCCAGTTCGATTCAAATTCAACCATCGACCGATTAGTGGGGTGAGTACGACTATATTCGTAGCAAAAAAAACCAAAAGCTGTTTCCCTTTTGCGGCGTTGAAAAAAAAGAACAAATCAGATAACGCACTCTTCCGCCTCTCTAAGGAACCTGAAAAAATTGTCAACTTCCAAATTTTTTAGAATATCTTGAGGCAAAAAATATTTTTCCTTGTTGATTCAGTGGTTTCTAGGTTTGGAGAATGCACATAGCAAAAATTGAGTTAGCGTTTGCAGTTGAAGTGCTTAGAGGAAGTGTCCAGGCAAAAAGTCGATTTTGAGAATTTGTGATTACCTGGGCCTATTCGCTATGCTGAATCCGAAAACCTACACCGGAGAGCGCAAAAACCGCGAAAAAGGGCTCTAACAGAGAAGAGAAATCGCAGGTGTACGGGGCTGTTCACATCGTGACGTCACTCCCCCGGCTTCAGGAGCGACCTTCTCGTTTTCAATTTTATGTCAAGCATTTCGCAGTTGGCTGGTGGCGATGTTGGGTTTGCTAGTGGAAGCAAGAAGATCGCTTTTAAGGCTGGTGGAATGACATCACGGTGTAAACGGCCTCGCCCACCTGTGATTTCTCTCCTCTGTTAGAGCCCTTTTTCGCAGGTTTTTGCGCTCTCCGGTGTATGTTTTCGGATTCGGCATAGCGAATAGGCCCAGGTAATCACAAATTCTCAAAATCGACATTGTGCTTGGACACTGCCTTTGAGGACACGAACTTTTCAAGCACCCTGTATGTCGCCGATGACACCCGCGCGTACAGCTAACATATGTGTATTGTCTGTAGTGTGCAGTTTGCGTGGTCTGTTGCAGATATCCGCGTACCACCTCCTTTCGGCAACATATAATTCTTCCCACCCGCAGCGTTGATGACCGCTCAACTAAAGTTTCATCGCGTTTTCGACAGCTTGTAGGCTTTACAACTACTAAACTCAAACCCTATCTGCTAAGATTGCTGCATATCTTTTGGCGGTGAGAAATCTCTGTCTCACCCAACTTTGAGGTAGACTTTCATTTGAGTGTGTCGTCAGCACATCTTTTGGTATTCTCCTGCATACGATAGTGGTATCTACACTTTTTTTTATATATCACTAGCTGGCTTACCCGGCTCCGCCGTATGTTCCGAATAAAAAATTGCATTTCTTTACCGATCGGTATCGATCGATATCGATTTTATCGGTATTACCCCCACGGGGGTGATCAGCGTGCTCGATTACCCCCCTGTGCCAACTCCCAGCCCCGTAGCTTAAATTTTGCAAAAAATCGATAAAATCGACATCGATCGATGACGAAAAGTAGCCTATGGCACCCGCTGGGGCCCGAAGTGTATGTGTGCCAAGTTTGGTCCGGATCGGTTCAGAAATGGAATATTCTATTCGGAACATACGTACACACATACAGACATACATACATACAGACAGACAGATATAACAAACATACAGACATAACTAACAGACAAACAGACATTCAGCTTTATATATAAGATTCTGTTACTGAAAGTGTGTAAGAGAAATGAGTTGCCGAAAAAAACGTTACCCTAAAGGAACAAGACTGGAGGCTTGTCCACCATCATGCCGTCATCTTAAAATGTGAAACAGCCAAATGTGAGGGGAAATATGACCCTTCTTAAGGGTTCTCCAGATTCATTCGACCTTTAACCACGAGTATAGTCATTGAGCTATCCAAGAGGACTGTCGCGATAACCCATTAAGCCAATAAAAGTATATTTTTATCTTATATATAAAGCTGAATGTCTGTCTGTATGTATGTCTGTATGTCTGTCTGTACGTATGTGCGGAATAGAAATTTTTATTTCTGAACCGATCGGGACCAAACTTGGCACACATATACTTCGGGGCAGGAAGCGTGTCATAGGCTACTTTTCGTTATCGATCGATGTCGATTTCACCGATTTTTTGCAAATTTTGAGCTACGGGGCTGGGATTTTGCACAGGGGGGTAATCGAACATGCTGATCACTCCCGTGGGGGTGATCAGCATGTTCGATTACCCCCTGTGCAAAATCCCAGCCCCGTAGCTCAAAATTTGCAAAAAATCGGTGAAATCGACATCGATCGATAACGAAAAGTGGACTATGACACGCTCCCTCCCCCGAAGTGTATGTGTGCAAAGTTTGGCCCCGGGCGGAGCCGGGTTTGCCATCTAGTCAGCTTATAATTTATTAATCATAAATGCACGTTTCGGTGAAATCAGCTTTACATCAAGATAGTTCTTTTCTAAAACTATTTTTCTAAGCGTGATCAAAACTATTGCATAGCGAACCTTTCACTATACAATAAATTCTGTAATAACCATTAAAATTTTAGTTGATTTCTTTTTCCAATCATATCCACTAAAAAACTTGAAAATGCTTACAGAGGGTGTGCAATTACTTCAATCACCTCAACTTAATGAAATCAGATGTTTATTCCTTCAAAATTTACCACGTACCTTGTAGCAAGCATCCGCTCTATCAAAATAAGTCCATCCATTCTCGCAATGCCCAGGACATGCTGTAAATAAAGCAGATAATTGGTGGGTAAACTGCATTTGGATCTTTGGTTGTCAATTTCCGGTTTTTTCTTAAGTTTTAGCCATTGAAAGAACGAATAAATGCGTTAATATATTTTCTCCAGTTAGTTCGTGTTCTGCACCTTTCCTTGATACAGCTTATCATAATTTATTCCGAAATGATCTTCCTGACACACACTCAATCCTATCGCAAGTAGGTGATTCTTGCCATAAACACCTTTTATCCTAGGCCATCGAATAAGATTTCTTGGCCCGAAGATTGTTGGAAGATTTTTGAAACCTCTACTTTGAAAGCATACAATTTGTACAGTTTATAAAAACGGGTATCACGCTCAAATAAACCTGTTGGCGCAAACCTTGCTCATTGTGTACCTGATGATCTATTGGGCAGTGAAACTTGCATTTACTCAAAAAATTTTGCGAGGAAATGTTGTAAAAAAGTCCAGAGTTCCTTTATGGCATTGCATTTCAAAAAAGCAAAAAAACTGCTTTGTATTTGCAATTCTGCATGTCTTTTTATCTTTTCTTTTTCGTGAGAAATATAATAATTCTGCTGTTTTCCTACCATTAGTCGTACCAGGTCCATTCTACCTGTGCATATCAAAAGCTCTGCAAGTTATTTCAATACTTTCTTCTGTCGTACAGGTTGTTATAGGTGACACTTAGCTGCCTAACTTTTGGCACAACGCCATCGTCAGAGGCTTGAAAGGAGTCAGTCACTTTTATTCAATCTTGACAAGGGCTAAGCAAGAGGTCAGCCACAAATTCTTCAAAAACGACCTTCTCTTCCCCCTCTTTCTGCTTCGCCTCTAGGGCCCCAGCCCGTGACATATTAAGATCAGCCTACACTGAAGGATTCTTGTTTTTTTTTTAGACTATAGGCCCGACTTTCTGCGACTGCTCGATGTGGCATATGCAGTTTGACGGCAAGTTTTAAATCTGGGAACCCCTCTTTCTAGAGCAATTTTTTTCACAGGGGTGGAGCGTTTAGCTCCAAATCTTCAATACAACAGAAGAAGCTTTGAGTTCAATGATTGTGCCAGAAAAGGAGCAAATTTTGAATACTGAAGGCAAGTTAAGGGTGTAAGTTTCTTACTTTAGCTCACGACCTTTAGCCAATAGGGCCAAAAAATCAGGCAGCCTGGCCTTTTGAAGGGTTGTGCCTGGCCCCACTAACTTTATTTCCAAAGACGCTTTTTCACCCACATTTTGTAAGATTCGCTAGCACAAATCTCAAGTATTCTACCTTAGTTGTTTGAGCTTGCGATTTGTTTTGGCCTTATGGTAAACCCTGCAGTTGAGGCTAACAAAATGAAAAACGCGCAGGTTGTAATTTTGGCAGCACTTCTTGCTCCACTATCTGAAAGCGATATGAGGCCTGATTTTAGCATAGATTGGTGAAGAACATTGATTTGTGATGAATATTAAAAAGCTGATTTTTTGATTTTTGAAATCAGGTTCATGTTTAAACTCACGCTTTTTGGATGTTAAAAAACACTAAAAAATGCAGTGAGTAGTGGTTCATGGAACTCATAAAGGTAATTTGACATGTTGGTTACAGAAATGAAACCCACTTTACACAGCAAACTTCCTGGGTCACCTATGATATGCTAAGTTGAGAGCTGAATATTTGAACATTGGCTGAAACTTCGATTTTAGAGTTAATTAGACTGCTATTCACGACCGTCATTCCCAGTACTGATGAGGTTGCGATAATCACCGGACTAACGCTTTCTTAATTATCTTAATCGTAGTATCTCCTCAATTTTTTGAATACTAGTCCCAATTATGAACCCGCCCCTTCTCTTACTCCCAAATACAACCACCAGTTTGGGCACTCGTAAAAACACTCTCAACCCTAATGTTGAACGCCGAACATCTCTTCACGCTTTACCATTTAGTGGTTTTCAGTCGAAGCAAAAAGTTTGCTAGTAAATTTTAAATTCGATTCTTCAGAGTGTGTCACCGTAATTTGTAGTAGTGTTACTTCAGAAGGTTTTAACTAATTGCGATGATGAGAATAGACAGTCTTGATGTCAATCTGCATAAGTAGAACAAACGATCTTATATTTTGCAATATGTTAGACACGGCATTAGAGCTCCGGTAATTTTTTATTCCTGTTGTGGATCTTGAGGTCACAGACAAAAAGTTAGGGCCCCGAGGGCGATTTTATAGGCCAAGATTACGCACTTGATCTCAAAATATCGCTTTAATTTACTTTTCCATGCCTTCCTAATGAGTTCATTACGTTCTGCCGCTTTTTGCTAGCCAAATACTCGTTTGCGTCTCTAATACTTGCCAATCATTATACTGTCTCTAAGGATATTTATTAGGTTGGCACATAAGTTTTGCAACTTTCCCGTAACTTTTTTCCTATTTTATATAGCAATCTCATTTTGTGGTATCGTGTAGATCGTGATGTATGCTGCAAGTCTGCGCAAACCGTTTGATTTTTGATAACGTAGTACAAAAAATCTAAGCATTTTTTGAAAACTGCTGAAAATCGAGGTTTCACGATTTTTTGGCAAACATGAAGCCCCACGAAACCTGATTCAAACATATGAAAAAGCAATTATGGGCAACATGTAGCTGGAAGTTGGCACATTGGAATCAGTGAAACAGAAATGAAATTTAAACACAAATTAAGGTGGGGCGCCTTTGAGAAGTTAAACAAGTCAAATGCGTTAAGGTTTGGAGGCAATTTGTCAATAACTAAGCTGCGAAAAGTCAGAATTCGCTATAACTTTGCACTATAGGGTAATCCTATGCGGTAAACACGAATATCATATTCATTTGTCGCTAAAATGAAATTCATTTTTTGATTTCACGAACGAGGCGTTTTCATGCGAAACGGATCTCATTTTTGTGATCAGCATGTCAAATAAGCCTTATAGGCCAAGTTTCAGCAAAATCTGATGCATTCTAAAAATTTTCCCATAGTACCGTAAACCTACCGTAATCCTCATATAAGATGGTAAAATTTGGCAAAAATGTGTGCATTAGAAGCTTACATCATATTCCTTATATTGCCAGAAAATGAATGCGCTACGTTCAAATTGACAAAAGTTATATAAAAAGTCATATTACTTATGTGCCAACCTAATACTAAGACAGCTTCGTTCTTCAGCTGCTCAGATAATCGCCGGGGGCAGGCGGTCCGCAAGCTCGCGCCTTCTTGCAGGCGACCAGCAGAGTTTTGGGGCGTGGCCAAATTTTCAGGGGGCGATACTTCCTTTACTGTCGCATGTTCTGCCAGCAAGAAGTAATAAAAATTTTTCTGCGGGCGCTTGTCAAATAATTTTTTGTGAGTGCTGGCCATAATTCCAGCGAGCGCTCGGACTCTTTTTACGCAGTTTTGAGCTTCCGCCGAGCAAAGTAAGACTCTATATGGCAGAGGCGTCATCGATGGTTCAATTACCCGAGTTTAAGGTACTTTCTTTCTGCAGAAGGTACCTACGGGCTGTGCGGTCCTCCACAAAGACCGCGCGGCCCTGAAGAATTTTGCATATTCTCGCGGAAAATCCGCGGAAATGCGGCCACTGCGCCGCAACTAATTTAGACAAAATTCGCGATTCTTTTCCGAGCATTCTCCTGAAAATTGACCAACATTCTTTCAAATTTCTGCAAGCGTACCGCAAGAAATCAGCGAACTATTTTTCCGCTGATTTCTTGCGGTCCGCTTTTTCCGTGTCCGCTTGCCCAGAAATCGCATGGCCGCCTATCCGCGTCGATTATCTGAGTGTGCTCTTATCAAGCATTATCTTATCGCAGTACTGATGTAAGGGAGTCACGGAGGTTTTTTTTCATGTTCTGCTTACTCGCCTTTGATACTTTTTAGTAGCAGATCGTTTCCTATGTTTGTAGAATTTTATCTCGTTCTCATTTCTTTCAAACCTGGTTGATTTGAAGATGATGTGTATGTTATAGAGAAAAACTGATTATGCTTTTCAAAACAAGCTAATCGTCTACGACAAAAAGCTGATTTGCTTTGATACGTCAGCTTTCAAAAAGAATTTTTCAAAGGGCAGAAAGAAGCATTTTCGGTACTTGCCCAATTTTTCTCTATGAAGAGCGTTTCGCGCAGAGATTTTTCTCCGATTAGGAAAGATCGCGATTTCTCGTCAAAGTGAGGTCAAAAATGATTGTAATGCTTTAAAAGGAGACTTTGTAAGGGGGCCCCTGAACAGCAGAATTATAGAACTCAAAAAACACCGGGGCTACCGTAATCCGGAGATTAGGCGTCAAAGAAATCCAAGGTCCGTGGCTGCACCGTAATTCAAATTTGGCTTCATTTAACGCCTAATTTGCGGCGTTGCGTCCCTGCCTCTGCTGCTTAGCGTTCATTGCGAAGACATTGGGTTTTTGTTTCGCTTGTGTGGCCATCTGATTTAGTAAGCTATTAGCTGTTAGCTTTTTTATCGGGAGCAGTGAACAAATACATCTGCAAGTTCTAAGAGACTTTCGTTGTTTTTCACAGCTTTTGTGCGTAGATAGAAACTAGAGAATGTTAAACATTTAGTTTTTTATTGACCTCAACCTCCTGAAGTTTGGAATGACCCCGTCTCTCTAACGTAGTGCAACTGCAACAGTTTCGGGAGCTTCGGACCATATAAGATCCTATCATGAGGGTCGGAGAATTAACGAGGTCAAGCGACTACCAAAACAGAATTTGTACAGCTTCATCAGCATCTCGTTTAGTTTTCTAACAACAGCCGCCTAATTCATAATTAGCACTCTAACTTTGGGTAATTCCCAACCAAAGTAGCTTCCATCTATGAATTCTTAAATGTGAGCCATAATGAAGAGTTGTGCTGCCTAATCGTTCAGTCATAAAGCAACCTTTCAGTTGCATCTGGTGATGAGCATGCCAGAACCGTAACTATTTGGTCTCTACTTAACGTTTAAAGCAGTAAAAGTTGCATCATAGGTTACCGTGTGACTGTTCATGAACGCGCTGAGAGCTCCACGCAATGTTTAATGCTAGACTTGACAACTACGTTTACTGATGATTTTTAGATGTACTGGAGCTGCTGCAAGAATGCTCAATCAGCATCAGACCATACATCTCAAAGTCAAAAGTCGTAATTTTACTGCTATCTTAATTTTTATTTTTTACATAGTTAATGGGGTGTGGCACACCCCATTAACTATATCAAAAAAAACATTTTCAGCGAACAGTATTTATATGAATAGCTAGCCTAAACATTGTAGATTCCATAAGAATGTTTCAAGCCTGATTCGTCTTCTTAGCTCTGAGTAATATTTGGTGAAAGCACAGCCATTAAAAGCGAAAAATGGGAAAAATGAGATTTTGGTTGGCTTCTAATTCCACAGTTTGAAAGTCTTTTGAAGCGGGATTTCTGAGATGGACAAAGAAGGAGTAGTTGTCTTGAGTGCAAAAACGGATAGCTAATTCACCTTTGAAACAAAGTTAATCATGTTGGAATATGACCATTTCATTTAGGTAGCCTAGTATCTTGAATCCTCAGAATTCGCTCAGACTTTGTCTACAGGGGTTGATTGACATGCTCATTATGGATATGTTGCCCATTATGTATGACCTTCAGGTAATGCTATCTTAGGTATATAATTCACATGGGGGTCTTATTAAGGCAGCAATCAGGGGGGGGGGGGTCGTAACTAGCGATCGTGTGCCACACACCTTGCTTGACCCTGGGAATGCTTATTGTATGACATCTGCGACAAGCTCTACAGTGAGTATGCTATTCGAGCACGCTATAGCATACACTATTCAAAAACTTGAATTTGTTCTCTTACGAGCTTTAAATCGAAAGTCATCCAAAACGCTTTCAAGTAAATCATAAACAGTTACGACGACGCAAAGCTTTTTCCAGTATTTCGGTCACAGAATGAATGATATGTAAGCCTTGAGACCAACCATAGCTTTACGTTATAGAGGCAAAACATTCGGAACAATCATTCCTAGCCTTGACATGCTCAAGTACAGAATAGCGAGAATCGGACCTTCTACAACAACGAGTTTGAATAGCAAAAAACCGCGCCATACTATGAGCTTTCTATTAGTCGTTGGTATATCACGGGGAACAAACAGCTATTTCCTGATATCTAGATACATACCTTCATTTTGTACTCCGTAATGAAACTAGTTCGATCAGCACACTTGGAGACCGATTAACTGCAGTTGCACAATTCTTTGCAATGAACGCTAAGCAACAGAGGCAAGGACGCAACGCCGGAAATTAGGCGTCAAATGAAGTCGAATTTGAATTACGGTGCAGTACAGACCTTGAATTTCTTTGACGCCTATTTTCAGGATTTACGGTAGCCCCGGTGTTTTTTAAGTTCCTTAATTCTGTCCCTGAACAAGGCTTTTTGCAGGGGGCAGGAGATACTGCATTAAAAATTACCAGGCAAAACGGTCGCCCAAACCTTATGCAACCCGATTGCACCGCTTAAACGAATCCCTGGCAAAAAAGGCTTGATAAACAACTTCAGTGAGCTTTACCGTGGGACAAAACTTGGCCCCTAAGGCAACCGTCGTCCTAGCTGTCCTTGCAAGATTTGACCGGGAGGTACAGTATCTGGAGTACTCTTGAGACCTCGGTCTGGCATATTATCATCTGTTCCAGTCTATCACAAATCGTACACACGATGTCTGTTTTGATTTCAAAGGCAATCTCACGCTCTGATCAGATGACTTTTTTGGGTCCAATCTCGCAGAGTTTTGGAAGAACGGGACTAAAAATTTAATGGTTTGATGTCGGAAGGCTGTGCGCAACAACGGAACATACAACATTGACTAAAATTTGCTAAAACTTCATCATTTTGTTGTTTGTTTTGTTTCAATTTGTTTTATAAAAACTCTACAAGTTAGATTTCAAATCCCCCGTTCAAAGACTTCCGAAAATTCTTGATAAGCATTTGTAACGCAAAGCTTCGCTTCGACTACGCAAATTTTATTGAATGAATGCGACGATTTTACAAGATTTGGAGCAATTAAAGCGCAACCTTGAAGGTATGCAACTTCGGCTAGAACAAATAGGTATTTGCAGAAAGTTTTTATTTTGGATAGTCCGCATCCCTATTGCCCTAAGTTTTCTTACATAAACATGTGGTAAGGAACTACATGATGCGAGCTTTTTAAGAAGTACGTTTTGATTTGAGAAACTAGTGCTTGGAACATGAGGTAAGCAAAATGTGCATCAGCTATGGATCAGCTTGAAATATCTGAAATATAGGTCTTCCAAACTTTAGTCTGGAAAACGTTTGAAAAAAAGTTTTAGGGGACGATGTTTGGCAGCATGAATTCGGCATTGCATCAAAATGGTCTGCCAATACAAGAACTGTGTAGCATCCTTCCAAACCAACCACTCACATCTTTTTTAGACGAGATTTTTTTTACTGAGGCGCAAAAACATCTGACAGGTTGACTCTTGAAAACTACAAACGTCAATCTTTGATATGCGAAGATTGTTGACATCATTTTTTTATTCCACAAAACATGCGTTTTTAGTCAAAGTGGCCTTTTTCGGATGGGCACTTAGTTACGGAAGATTACGCTGACTTCGAATCTGTTTTTGTTATCTACTGTGCACCTTTGGGAACTTATGAACAAGATAGTATTAATCACAGCCCCTCCAGCACTGCAATAAGGCAGTAGCGGTGAAGGTACCAGAAAGATAGTGTCGAATGCATGAAGTTCCCTAACTCGACATTGGCCTATTTGATCGGTTTTGCAATTCTTGTATTTAGTTGCCCGTGTAAAATTTTGCCCAAGAAGCGATTACAGTTCCGGCATCCGGAAAAGCACAAGAAGATAGTGGAGAAAGATTTGGTACCGACATTCAATGCACTTCAAATTGCGATAGAACCTTACTGGAAAGTTTTCTTTGATTGAAACACTCGTTTTTATTTCAAAGACCGTTTACAAGTTATGCGTTATAGCTCTTTGAAAGAAGTGTTGAGTAAATAAACTACGAAAACTCTATGCAAAGGTACTCCGAAAGTTACTGAAATCTTATATATAAAGCTGAATGTCTGTTTGTATGTATGTATGTATGTCTGTCTGTATGTATGTGTGTACGTATGTTCCGAATAGAAAATTCCATTTCTGAACCGATCCGGACCAAACTTGGCACACATACACTACGGGCCCCGGCGGGTGTCATAGGCTACTTTTCGTCATCGATCGATATCGATTTTATCGATTTTTATCGATTTTTTTGCTGAGTTCACCTACGGGGCTGGGAGTTGGCACAGGGGGGTAATCGAGCATGGGGATTCCGAATACAATGTTGGTTTTCAGGATTATCTATTACTTTTATTGATTTTATCGATTTTTTTGCAAAGTTTGAGCTACGGGGCTGGGAGTTGGCACAGGGGGGTAATCGAGCATGGGGATTCCGAATACAATATTGGTTTTCAGGATTATCGATTACTTTTATTGATTTTATCGATTTTTTGCAAAGTTTGAGCTACGGGGCTGGGAGTTCGCACAGGGGGGTAATCGAGCATGGGGATTCCGAATACAATATTGGTTTTCGGTATCGATTACTTTTATCGATTTTATCGATTTTTTGCAAAGTTTGAGCTAGGGGGCTGGGAGTTGGCACAGGGGGGTAATCGAGCATGCTGATCATCCCCAAGGGGGGTGATCAGCATGCTCGATTACACCCCTGTGCCAAATTCCAGCCCCCTAGCTCAAATTTTCAAAAAATCGATAAAATCGATAAAAGTAATGGACGATCTTGAAAACTAATATTGTATTCGTAATCTGCATGCTCGATTACCCCCTGTGCAAACTCCCAGCCCCGCAGGTCAAACTTTACAAAAAAAATCGATAAAATCGATAAAAGTAATGGACGATCCTGAAAACTAATATTGTGTTCGTAATCAGCATGCTCGATTACCCCCCCTGTGCAAAATCCCAGCCTCGCATGTCAAAATTTACAAAAAATCGAGAAAATCAATAAAAGTAACCGATAATTCTGAAAACTAATATTGTATTCGGAATCCCCATGCTCACTTCCCCCCTGTGCCAACTCCTAGCCCTGTAGGTGAACTCTGCGAAAAAATCGATAAAAATCGGTAAAATCGACATCGATCGATAACGAAAAGTGGACTGTGACACCCGCCGGAGCCCGAAGTGTATGTGTGCCAAGTTTGGTCCGGATACGGCGGAGCCGGGTAAGCCAGCTAGTATACTCATATAGGTATTTGTTTTTCCAATAGAGACGAGCATTTTGAAGTTTCACAACTGTTTAAAGCTTACAGACTTTACAGTTTCAAGAGCTCGATGCATACCTAATGACTATACACGTAAAAGAATTTATGTGCTAACCTGATTCAGAACGTAGTGGACAGGAGCAATTAAGTTTTTTCAGGAATCTGTAAATTCATTTTTCTCAAGTGAACGTTGTCAAAATGGATCACACACCTGGAGATTAGCTCATTGCCGACCGGTTTTATAAAAGCCTCCACCAATGGAATCGCAAGGAGCAGAAACTTCATTGAATCCATCTTGGAATTTGTATTAATTTATACCTTTGCATGTGTAAGCTATTCTTCATTTTTTAAATATAAGATGGAAACAAATCAAGATGTAATAAACATTTTTGGTTCACAGGATCTCGTCTTTCAAATCAATGTGTGCATTGATTTGCTTTTCGGAAATAGAAAAAATCAAGTTTCAATCACGAAGTGTGCAGGTTTGCAGCAGCCGTGTTCCGAACAGAGCTGTAGGGAGAAAAAAGAACATCAACCAACACCTGCTACTCATCGAGCGGATAACAACTTTCAATCGACAAGCTCTACAAAAGACAATATTATATCGGTATAATCTCCCTTCAAACGCTGAAACAATAGTGAAGGAAATACTTATGTCACACACGAATGACTGCTTACCCTGCTTATCTTTAAAAGAGATATTTTTATCAGTAAGGGCACTACAACGCACTAAGAACGAGAACTGACTCCAGTTTCTTTTGGCAGCTTCAAACAGAAAATTGCTTAGTCACTTGATGCCATGAAGTCGAGTTAGAGGATTGACACAAAATGCAAAGTCCATTTTCAGAGACCATTCGAGTCTAATTGTAAGAAAAGAATCTAATACATGATAGGCCACAAAGTCTCACTATCAGAAACATCGCCATGGCGAGTACTTATATGAGTTTATGTCGTTGCAGGCAACGCGGAAAGGTGTTCTCAGTGTTTGAAAGGGGATTTTGTGGAAATTTCACAACAACGAAAATGTTGAGTCACCATATCCAACTTCTCAGAATTTCAAAAGATTGTCTTCTGACCGTTAGAATACTGCCACATTCAACCGAAATGAGTACTTCTCCTTTCCTAAACTTTGCGAGGCTTAATCTGGTTGTAAAACATCACGGACTTACAATTATGGCGAATTAAAGTAGCCAAGTTGGGCCACACTACGAGTCATCAAATGCATGAAAAACCTGCCTTGCAAAGTTTCGCTGATTTTTCACATTTGAAGGAAAATGCGAAAACTTGTAAATTTTCGCTGAAGTCATAAGCTCCAATACCCCTTAATAGCCTTTTTGATTAAGAAAACAATGCTTTTACAGCTAGCTTGCTCTAATCATGGTCAGCTAAGCTAATTTCGTGCAGGTATTCGAGGCACACAGCTACCTACTTGATCTCATTTCGCAAACTGTTCGTGATGTGTCACTAGCAGCAGGCTGGTCAGTTAAAGAAACTGGCTGAATTGACTTCGATAAGCCACAGAAAAAAAAGCAAGTAGAGCTGCGTCACCGGATTTGGGCTTTGTAATGTTAGAGCGCTCTTTTCACCGCATAAAGTTTTGCTACCTAGATGATACCTTTGCCATAGCATTCCTCTTAATGAAGAGGAAAATGACTTTGTCATAGCAGTGATAAATGTAAAGTTTTTCAAGAATGGAGCCAAGCATTCCCAGAAAGAATTTCATGCGAACGAAACTTCTCACTAGGAAAGGATACTTGGTTGAAGTGGAATTTTTTTTCGTGTGAAATGTAAGCCGTCGTATAGGGTATGAAACACTGATTCTAAATCTGCTTTCGGTGCAAAGCGCTTCTGGGAGGAAAGTTAGGGAAATTTTTTGAGGCAAAAATTCAAGGGCTTTGCTAAGTCAAAAAACAAGCGTTGAGGTCCGCCCGAAGCTTGAAAGAAGCAAAAGCAGATTTGGAATGGGTGTTTTATGTTCTATGAAACGGCATACTTTTTGTACAGAGACGCCACTTCGACCAACTAACCTTTCCTTGTCAGTAGCTAGTAATGTGAGTAGAAATTTTATCAACAATCGATTTGATGTCAAATCAATGAGTATTTTGTCTTATGAAATGTTTAAAATCACTGCTGCATAATATAGGGACGTCCGCCTATCCTGTTTGTCTTTCTATACAGGGTGTACCAAAAAAATGTGAACACTGTTTGATCGTTAATAACTCCCTTGCTTTCATGTCTTTCGCCGAGCTTGAGGCACCATTCTGTAGAGCGAGGTTCATCTTAGATATGTAGTATGAAGCAAAACTCCGATCTCACTTCGTTACTGTAGGATCACGGTGGTGTATTCGACAGGGTTTTTAAGCCGTTGAAGGCCATTTTCTGCCTCGAAAGAGAGCCGAACAAGCCAAAAGCTTTTGTACTATGGTAATGGAAGCCGCTGACTTCGAATATGAAATTTCCACCTTACTACAATGCTTCTCAGAGTTGTCGTAGGTAAACTGTAATAACTGACTTTCCAGCATGTGTCAAAATTGTGACTACACCATCAAAAAGGCTAAGAACACTCGTAAAAAGTTGTGTAGTGGAATCAGCATGCGCGAAAACCTTAATACACGATTCTCAGATTTTTTGAAAAAATTAGATCAGATGGCATGTTTTACAATGGTTCCACACGCTGGAACTTCTTACCGTAATCCTACAGTAACGAAGAGCGAACGGTGGTTTGCTCCATGCTATAATCTAAGTTAAACCCGCTCTACAGAACGGTGCCTCAAGCTCGGCGAAAGGCGTGAAAGCAAGAGAGTTATTAACGATCAAACAGTGTTCACATTTTTTTGGGACACTTTGTGTGTTCCAATAAAATTTCTACCGAACTGAGTTTGTCTCTGCACGCATACGCTTCAGCTGCGGAGCGAGTGTCATAATCTATCTCTTTTTGATCAACATCGGTTTATTGATTATTCAGCAAACCTTTTGCCATGGAAAAAGGAGTTGATGCGGAGATTATGCGAAGATTGGATACGGATACAATATTCATTCAGATCTATTCATCATTTATGGACATGTTTTTATACTTTTTATACGTCATGATGTGCCAGAATAAAAATAAAACGCGAAAAGAATACAAGCCAGTTATCGTGCACTGCCTCTCATACACAGCACTACACTTGCCGCATTCCGTGAAATTTACAAAAGCATGACCAAGAACCGAGCGAAGCCGGGCAGCCGGGCAACAATAAAATTAGCGTTATTACGCAATTTCATATTTTATTTACATCGGATGAATAGTCCTTCGATTCTCTACATCTTCTGATTCGACTCCAACCTGTTCGGTATAAAGAAGTGCCGCTGGGAAGCGAGGTAGTAAAGAGACAAGATGCGTTTGTGCCGCTGGCGCTGGTACACATAGCGCAACCAAATGGTCCCATATCGAGATCAAGGAACTGAAACATATTCACTTTTTTATGTCATATACATGTATGTGTACGTTGTTTGTGTAAACGATACAAATTTGTGAAGTACAGCAAAAAATCTAAGAAATCGACTCAAGCCAACTTCATACTCCAGTTTCAATCACTTATCAATGTTGATTCAGTCGATTTCTAGCAGACTTTCTACAGGGGTCCTGATAGTTTCTAGGATTGAGTGAGCTTGGACTAAAATGATAAATAATCAAAAAGCTGTTGAAAGCACTTATCGATTTTGCAAAATTGGGGCAGACGTCAGCCCAAGTTGCCTTTTTAGGTTTTCAAAAGTCTTTGACTCTACAATATTTTGCGAGCACGTTTGCAAAACTAGATAGTAACAAGTTGGCGCCTTTTGCAAACAGATCAATCAACTTTTGAAACAACGATATATTATAGAACCGCCGTTTATATCAGAGCCGAAAGCGTGCAAGCAAGGGAGCAGAAAGCGCTGACATACTCGGCGAATCAGATAATCTACAGTAATACCAGGTCCTTTCTGGTTTTTGTACACCAAACACACTTGACGCGCTTGTCGATGGAGTCACGGACGACGAGCTTGCCGTATTGCCAGTGAATAAGTTTGCATTGCAAATCAGAAAATTATATCTCAAAAAATCAAAAGGAACATCGCTCAGTGATAATACTCTCAGCCGTAAATCAAATATTTCTGATGAAGCTTTGCAGAAGGAGAACGACGAGGATGGAAAAAGGGAGATGATAACAACACGAAGGAGAAAAGACTAGAAAACTAAAATTTGAAGGAACTTTGCTCAAGATGCCTGAGTAAAATTGAGGGGCGATATTTGCGTTTCTTGTCAAATTGAAAGTAAAAGACAGAGAGGAGGCAATTTTTTGTGGTGGTCTTTTCTCTAGACAGTCCTCCAAACGAAGAAAGCGTCTCTTTCAAAGAGTCCGAGAATCATGTGAGTGCCTACTTGGGATAGTAGTTTCCGCGAAAGAAAACGGAAACAAGCGCACTTTTCTGTGTTCATTTCTGAATTACATTGGAAACTCAAATCTTTGATTGCTTGAGGGGAAATTCTTGTTTATAGGACACACGCCCCACCAAGTATCTTCCCCGCCACGTGGAAAGTTCCCATAAATTTTGTGCGTGTCAGTGAAGAGTCATGAGAGGTGTAGCATAGGTGGGAGACTTCGGTCGCCAATGAAATACCACCACTTTCATCGATTTTACTTATTCGGTGAGAAGAGGATTGAGCTTCGGCTCTTTATTCTTTGTATTAGGTTGTCAAGAAAATAATGTCGTTTTTTATTTGCTTGTTTTAACAACGCAACCAGACTCAATCCAACAAAAGGTAATGGGTATTGTTCGATAGAGCAAAGCAAGCTCTACAAGACGGCGTTTATAATATTGCGCCAAGTTCGGTCCGCGGAAAGTTTGAACTCAAAATCTGAAGATTTCCGAATGCCCAAAAAATCGAAAAAAATCAGATCTTCGTCCAAATTGTTTCTACGTACCTCCCACTCGCACATGTCAATACTTTCGATATCTGATATCCGTATGTGCAGCTGCTGTACTTTTTCCTTGACTAGAAACTGAGAAAACGAAAATGTTCGTGTTTTTTTAGAGGCAATGCTGAGCCGTTCTTGCATATGTGATTCTATACTACAAGCCTAGGTAAGTATAACTGCAGATTTTCAGCCCATTCCGCGCAGTAGTTTTCGGGAAACATCGAAATCAGCTTTCTTCTTTTCAGTTCCAGCGCTAAAAGCGACATTTCTCGAAAACTACTGCTCGGAATGGGCCGAAAATCTATAGATATACTTACCTAAGCTTGTAGTATAGAATCATATATGCAAGAACGG